CCAACCAATTTATTTATTCTATTAAATTCTTTTATTTTTGCTTCACTCAGTTTAATGATTGAACGGTAAGTTTCTAATTTTTCGATTATTTCTTTCCTCTCTTTATCGTTTTCAGTTCCATTAGTTTTATTGTTTTCAACCCCACCGCATTGCGACTTCTTTTTGTAATAGCATATTTTTGATTTAATTCTGTTTAGTTTCTTTTTATATTCATTGTCTGGACTCTTGACTGCTTTGTTGTCACTCATTTCTTACGAAATAAAAAAAATTAAATATTATTTAAATATAATGGAGTAATAAAATAAATCGGAATTTCTATTAATTCTTGTCAACTTCAACTAATGCATTGCCGTTAATATATCTAACAAATTCAGCTATTGTGTCAAATCTTCGTCTTCTTTTTGTCATTGATTTATCAGTTTTTCCATAATCGAGATGAATTAAAACTTTATTTCCTTGTTTAAAATTCATGAGCCCCGAATTAATTTGTTCACGTTTAACATCATTTAACTTTTCCATTTGCTTTCTAATATATTCCCATTCTTTTGAAATATCATTTTTCATTTCCACCGGTTTCATGTTTATAGTTCTATGCCATGTATTATTGTAATAATATACTAACTGCTGTATGATGGAGTCATGATTTCCATCCCAGTATATCTGACCGTTAACCCCTAACGCATCTCTAAGAGTTCTCATTACCGCATCAACTATTTTATTATGAAACGTATATGGAGAGGATGAAAAGAAAAAATTAATTTGTGGGAAATAATGAGTCATAGCTGCCTGAAATCCTTTATCACCATCACCCCTGATATTATCTACTCTTTCATGATCTAGTAAGTATTGAATAGCTCTTCTTGTTTCCTGTTCTGTTTTCCCTTTCACTGGAATGCAATATAAATATCTAGTGTTAATGTTAATGGCAAATAAATAAGTAACGTTTCCTTTTGAATATTCCAGATGATCGATTTCGTATGAATATGGATATGGAGCAAATGAAGGTCGACTAAATTTTTCCTTTAATGGTTGAATTTTCGGGTCAATTGGTTTATTTAATATCTTGAAATCCTTTTTAAAATCTTTTTGCTTCTTAAATGTTTGAAATGGATATAATAAAGTGAATGATGAAGGATTAACTGAAGGAGGAGGAGGTACTACTGTTGGAGGTTTTGGTGTTGTAAGTGGTTTAATTTTATCTGCTTTGATTTTGGAATTCAATCCTCCCTTCATTAATTCTGGATGTATTTTATTCATTTGTTTTAAATATGCTGTATATAAAGGTTTGATATACTTTCCCGCTTCGAGTTTATGTTGAAGGATGAATTCCAAAAGTTGATCTTCATTTAAAAGTCGGGCTGAATATGGTTTAACTAATGAATCATAAATTAAAGCTTGTGCATCATTTATGGTCTGAAGGACCTGGGTGTTTTGTTCCTTTTGTTTTTGTTCCTTTTGTTTTTGTTCCTTTGGCTTTTGCGGCTCGGGATTATATAATTTATATAATTCATCAATATCTTCTTCTGTTAATACTTTATTTTTGAAATCTTTCAACTGTTTAAGCTGTGATTTAGTTTTTCCCTTTATATATTCATTATTTTTAATTTTGTCTTTAATTTCAGAAATTATTTTATTATGATATTTCAAAATTTCATTTTTATAATATGGATAATAATATTCCATATCATCACCCGTTATATTATTATTATATTTTTGGAGATATGCTTTTAAATCATAATAATTAAGAAAATTTTGATTAAATACTAAATCATCAATTAAAATTTTTAAATCTGTGTTATTCATTTATATAAAAATAAAATCAATGTTTTAAGGGTGTCCACCTCTTTGAATCATAGTATCAAAACCATCATTAACGGTTCCTTTTGTCTCTTCTGTGGTATTTTATTAAATAAATGGCATACAACATCCATTTTCACAACATACAGCCTTAGTGTGTGCTCCTGTTAATGCAGTCTTACCAATTGTTAAGCGAGTCATTGACCCATTTTTAAGTTGTAAATTAATATTCTGACCATCAAATATCAATTTATCATTTATTATATCCAAATAATTTTTAGGTGTTAATTGTTTATTTTGTCGTAAACTAACACCTTTCATTTTTTGTGCAATCTTTTAAAATCACTTCCATCAATTGAACCATTGAATGATGTATAACACTTAGGACATAAAGCAACCATGTTATCACCTTGTTTCTCAATTGCTAAACCCAATAACTTCTTCTCATGTGCTTTTTCTTCAGCTTTATTCTTTAATTTAGGTTTAAATTTCTCATCAAAACAGAAGAAATCAAAAGGTGCGAATTTGAAAATGTTTTTATCATAAAATTGTTTATCGGTAACAATTGCTTGAAATGCTTGAGTGTTAGGAAGATTTGGGTCGCCAGCGATTGCCCAATAAGATGAATCAGTATCACCTTCAATGAAATGAAAACGATTAACATCCATGCATTTATACATAAAATCATAAATGAAAACCAAATACCAGTATTTAGCATTATCTAAAGTGAAGAATGCCTCTTGTAAACATGTATCACATCTATAAAATCTATCTTTAAGCATCACTTGATATGTATCTTCACCTATTTCTCTTATGTTTTTAAACTTATTTGACATACATGCAACGCGTGCCTTCTGTGCATTCATTATTTTAGTCTTTGCGTAATTTTGTGTATTCATTGCATCGTAACCATATGATCCATTAAGTGAAATCTTGCAAAATAAACTTTTTCCTTTATTTCCTTCTAATTCAGCCTTTTGTCTTTCGTTCATAAATTCGTTCGCAAATTCATTAAAGCAAGTGTTTTTCGTAAATGTTAAAATTGATTGAATATCATCAATGATAAAATGAAATCTGTCTATTAGATACCAAAGATAATAAGAAGAAAATGGTTGATATTGGTTGTGTGTTGATGCTAACTGAGTTAATTTCCTCTGTTTCTGGTCAACTGGTAGATTGTTTGATTTCATGTAATTATACATAAAACTGCCAATTGTTTTTTCATCTGTGATAATATCTAAGTTTCTTATTATCGGTAAAAAGTTTATGTAATCATTAATGTATTTTTCATCAATGTGACCCTTTACTTCAGCCACGAATAAAGTATTTTTCTTCTTAATAATTCCCAGTGCTTTTGCTTTCTTTGTTGCTGTATCACAAATGATAACACCATTCAATCTTCCCGGCATATACATTTTATGGTCAGTATATTGAATGAAATCATGAGGATTAGATGAAAATGATGAAGGATATAATGAATTAAAGTCAACTCCAACGAAATGAGTCATAATGTTGGTGGTGTCCTCATTTGATACAGTTTTAGTTTCTGGATTATATGAAAGTTTATTAATGTGCGTGATTCCTTTAAGATTAACACGATGTTGAACATTTGATAGACCACCAGTAATTCCATTACGGAGAATGTGATAAGCTTCAACTGAATCTAAAGTCATTGGTAAATTATTTTTTAATGCATAATTTCTTAAATTGATTCTTAAACGTTGAACATCTTCATCTTTATTTGATTTTACGACATTGCAATAACAACACATTAACTGACAATTTTCTTTGGTATGTGGTTTTTCATTATCTATTCTATCCAATGTTGGTTTATTTGCATATGTAAACGCTTTACCACACATTTTGCATTTAGATGAAAGGATTAAATCGTGATAGTATTGATAGTCATCCATTGAAACATTGTTTTTAGTATCCCTTTCCGCTTTTTCATCTTGTTTCTTATATGATTCAATTTTATATTTCCAATACTTTTTTGTTAATTCAAAACTTGATTCCACATTTTCTTCTTCTGGATATGTTTCGTTAGGATTGAAGTTCTTATATGCTAACGCGTAACGAATCATTGATGCATTCGATGATAAAGAAAGATTATGAAGCATGTCAATTTTATAAACAAATGTTTCTTCGATAATTTTATCAATTGGGTCAATCATAATTTCAACATCTTTATTGCAATAATGAATAAAATATTCTAATCTATTCTTAAAGTTTTTAGCATCATTGAGATATATTTGATAATCTGAATCGGATATTGTTTCTTGTGTTAATGCTGAATAAAATGAATCTTGAGTGAATGGTTCCTTTTTATATAATTCATCTTCGTAATTCTCCCATGTGATGAATTGATAAGGGAAAAAGGATTTAACACGTGATTTATTGTTTCCGAAATCTTGAGTGAATTGGTCTAATGTTCCACCCGCTATATAATTTCTGATGTCAATAAATCTTAATTCATATGGACAGTTTGTTTTCTTTACTATGACTTGCTTAAATTGAGAAGAAGAACCCAGCATTGATTTTATCTTCCATTTTGCAGTATTTAAATCACGAAGAATTAAATTTAAATCAAACTTTCCTGAATTAAAACCAATGATATTCACTTTATTAAATTCTTCATCTAAAAGCTCTTTAAATGCTTCCTTCTGTTTTTCATTTAATGTATGATACAAAGTCCCCGCCGTTTGGTCCGTTTGCGACTTCATTAATTCTTCATATTGTTCAATATTTGATTTAGCAACTAATGAACAGGTTGAAAATAAAAACTCAATCCAATCAGAAATAAAAGAATCACTCGAAGTTAAGCAAAAATTCCTCGTATATGTTTTATCGTTTAATTTAACCGTTGATGATACCATGAATGGTTTTAAGTAAGCGTTTAAAGTTGCACACTCAGAAAGTTGTAATTCTTCTTTAGTCTCTAATGTTTCGAAGTCAAAAGTAATATAATATCTTGTTGGTTTATAATATTCCTGCAAATTATGTGCTAATAGCCATTGATATATCTTCTGTTTCGTAATATGTGGTGCATATGGTTGTTGTGTGTTTTGCAATTGAACGTCTTGAATTAATCTTCCATTATTTTCTTTACATTTCTCACAATGTTTTAAAAATCTTCTTTGGTTTTTCCTTTCTGGATCATCACGGATAGAATATACTTCTTCTTTGCAAAAGGGGCAAACTTTCTATCCTGTGAGTGCTTCAACGTCTGTTATTCTGTCAGCGTGAAGTTTTCCACATGGACTCTGTGTTAATAAAATATTTACTGTTTCAAATTCTGGATCTATCATTATTGAATCCACTAATGGAAAGTCTACCTTGTTAATGTCTACGTCTTCTGGTTGAGGATCACAATAATAGAAATCAATATTAACATTTAACATTCTTGCTAACCTCTCACTTTCTGATGAAATGTCAAATCCTTCATATGCATCTATGGCTTCATTTAAATAACTTCTACGAGTTTTAGGATTAACACCATCAGGAATGTTATAGAAGCGTTTAAATAACCTTCTACCTTCGGCTCTTATTTGATTATCATTCATTTTAGCTGTTCCATTTTTGTTCATTTATGTAAGAATAAAAATTAAAAAATAAATAAAAATAAAGTTTATTTTTTTAAAGTCCGAGACTCAGAGAGTCCAGGGCTAAAGTCCATAAAATGAATTAAGAACACATAAATTTTTATCATCTGCGACGTGACGAATACATTTTAATTTACTCAAGAATGCGTACCCTGATACATTAAATCTAATTCCTGTCTTATTTAATTTCACAACTTTGAAAAGGAATGTATGAATAGCTATAAAATGATGAGATGATGTTTTATGGGTTGCTTCCATTTTTTCTGAAATAAATGAATAAATATAATGCTTATACGTTTTCATATCTTTTATATTCTTAATAACGAATGGTATAGACCTTTCAACTTCGTCTTCCTTCGGTGCTGTTCTTTCATATGAAACATTATTGGTATCTTCAATAATGAAACCACAATCACATAAAATTTTATAGGTTCCAATTGTTTCTTTTGATATTTTATCTAACAAATCAAAAACTTTATCAACACCTGTACATTTATTTAAATAATAATTTGTGTAAATATCATGGTCTTCTTTCTTAATCGTATTTGTTGCATATGTTACATTTTTCAGTGCTTTTTTGAATTTTTCAGAATCAAGAGGAGGTGAAAGTAATATACATGGATAATCTCCATCGTCAATAAATTGTAACTTATGTTTATGAATAAATTTTGTGCCTTCTTCTGAAAGTGTTTCGTCAATATCACCATCTAATAAATTTTTAGTAGATTCCAAAAAGTAATTTTTATATCTTTCCTCATGTGATTTTTGAACTTCTGATTCTGAAGCTGGGATATTCATTAAACCCTCTACTTCATTCTCAGCATTTCTCAATTCCTTAATTTTTTCATCTATTTCATTTCTTAATTGTTCCAATTTCTCAATCTCATCGTTATAATATTCATCTTGTTTAATTTTTTCTTCAAAATATTCAGGAGGTGTTTCAAGGCTCTCTGAGCCCAGGTCCTCTGGACCATAAAGAGGAATATTCTCCTGTTTTTCAACTTTTTTGGGATATAAATATCTCATTATAGCCTTTTTAGTAATTGGTCCGTTATATTTAAATTCATTCAACAATCTGGAAAACTCTTTCACATTCTGCATATATGTTGGATAAGAACCGTCTCCAAAATTTTCTAAAATATTTTCTAATTCTGAATTAGTGAACTTTAAAGATTTCAATGAATTAGTTGTTATACTCATTTATCATTAAATAAAAAATAAAAAAAATAAATTTAACTTAGTTTTAATTTTACGTAAGAAGTCAATTTTTTAAATCTTGATTTATTCAAAAACGTAAGAATAAAAACCGTAAGAATCATACATTTTTTACTTCATATGTTAAAAAAAAGATACAAAATCGTTCAATATTGTATGAATTCTTACGTTTACAAAAAAAGTCACACAACCCGTCCACATATACTACTAATTTGATTCAGAAGAAAATTGAGATTAAAACTAATTAGTTCATATTATGAGAACATTCATCTTAACTATATTTCTGATACTGTAATTTGCTCTAAAAATAAAAATGAAAAATTCATAATTTTTAATATCTTATCATTTCATTCCTGCTCTTCAACTATGATCCCATCATGATCAAATGTTACTGCTGCATTCCCCATGATAGTCAAAATATCATTTCCATGCTCTCCCTTCTCATATTTGATAAGTCTATGATATTTATGGGTTTGGACGAAAACTGATATGTCACGAAGGGTATTGTGGTTTAATATTCTTGAAATGAAATTCAAAATTTCGAAAGCTGCCTGAGTATCTTCAAAATTGTCTATCTTAGCATGCTGGGAAAGTGTTAACACGTCTGAAGTATTAAATTTCCTACTGATGATCGAAAATGTAGTTTTATATTGTTTTGTGGTAAATGAACACTTATCAAAGATATTGCAAAGCTCTGAGACTGTTCTTAAGCTAATGAATTCTTCGTCATTATACCAGCTATTAAGTGTTTTGGCGTAAGTATCATAATCAATGGATGTCATACGCAAAAAATGGTATTTCAAATCTCAATTCAAATCAATTTGTGATTTTCAAAATTTTTGATTTGTGATGATTTTTGACATGCGATGGCAAAATTATGACCTTGTATTTCTCATAGGGACAATATTGTTAGAGCAATGGGTATTGTGATGTGTTAGCCCTAGGTCTTCATAATGCAATGAATTCTGTTTTATGATTAGATCAGTTTTATATATATATAATCATAAATGGACTTTTTGCATAATGCAGAAAAGTTTTTCAACTGTTATATTTCCCTATAAAACGAATCTCGTTTGAAATAGTGGGCTTAAAACCTGCTTACTTACTGTATTCCTATGCACAAATGTGGGCTAATTTTCATAGTCATGCATTAAGCAAGTGTCAATTTCATGAGACATAAGATAACACATCATTTCTTTATTGAATTTCTCAAGTGCAATTTAATGAGCTGTTCTTACAATCATGTCATTTGAAGAGCAGCTATACTATTAAGTTCATCAAATTTATCGTCATTATGGCGGTGTGAGTTAACAAAATTTGAGGTTTGAATCAAATTAAATGTGTTTTCATCCGTTTCTGGAAATGGAGTTAAATGAAACTACAATGAGGAATGATGAAGATAAAATCGTTCTGGGGTCAAAATTGTTGAAGATAAACTTACTTGATGACTCAAGAGAAAGAGCTTCAAGATTCTAAAAAAGTGACAAATCTAAAATGGGCAAAAACGATAAACCTCAAACTGCGACGTTAACTCAAACCCAAACCGACGCATGTTTGAAGATAACTAGGGAAATTTTTGATCTCCCTATTGCCACTTACTTCAGAGCTCCAGTTAATACAGCTGAATTTCCAAACTACAAAGTCAAGAAGCCAATGGACTTGGGAACAGTTATTCAGCGCTTAGATGAGCAAAAATATAAGAATGTTGACCAATGGAGAAACGATATGAAATTAATTTGGGATAATGCAAAAGACTTCAACTCGCCTGATTCAATTGTACACTCTGTTGCATTGGAACTCAAACAATACTTCGAAAGAAAATCTGATAGAATACCAAAAAACGAAATGGAAGCTTGGCAATTCGAATTACAAGCTTGCCATGGCAAAATCCAAGAAATAATGGCCTTAAGACCAACACCTCGTCCCAAACTCGTACTTAGAAGAAATTCCACAAATATTGGAGAATAATTAAAGTTATTTAATTGAATAGGATAGTTATTTGTTGCTTGATGGATATTAGTAAACATGTTTGTATTTTTCACCTGAAACATTTTTATTTGCTCGATCAAATTCATCAATTCTCATTGAATTCAATAAATTTTAAGTAGATTTCACTTAATCTCGATCTAGGGTAGATCATATTCATGATTCAAAGCATTTTATATTTCCAAATTTTTCTCATTATTGTGAATCTATAATAAATCAGTATTCTTTTTTTGTTCAAAATTTATATTGAATAATTTTTTTGGAGAATTTTAAGAGGATTTAATCAAATTTAAATATGCAAAACTTTCTAAATTTTGTAATTAAACAAGTTTAAGTTATAAAATACCTTAAAACCAATAGATTATTAAAATTCAATTCAAATATTTTTGATTCCCATGATATATCTATTACAAATAATGTTTTTATTACACAACTTTGCATTTTATTTGATTAATGCTGTTATATTCTATAGATATTTCAAAATTATTTTTTCAATTAACGTATAGAAGTAGAAATAGAGAAAAATATGAAAGTATATATCAATCAAAATATTATGCCATTTTAATTTTTCTTGAATACACAATGAACAAAGAAAGTAGCGCGAAGAAGAAAGTTCCAATCCAAACAGGGAAAGAAACAATCGCAATGTTATCAAACCAATCCATCCAGCTGTTAGGTGTCTTTAAGATAACTGCTGGTGCTTGGCTGCACAAGTTTTCATCAAGTTGTCTTGCAATTTCTTTCAACTGCTTTGAGAGTTGTTTCTGCCTCAGTCTGTGTCTGAAGAGCTCTCTTCTCATCTGAAGCCACTCAAATCTTTCGCATAAATCTAATATTTCTTCAACAGACTGGCCGTATTGCTTAATCTGCTCAACCAAAGCCTCCTTAGATATACTTGCTGTTCCTGCGCCTACTTCGTCTGCGAAATTAAGCAATTCTTTAATACGTCCTAACCTCTGCACAATTTTGGCTCGGCCTTTGCTCAAGAAAGCCCTCATAGCGTTTCTATACGCCACGTCCTTCGATAGTTGGCCGAGAGGATAATGAGTACTACTCGGACTCATAATAGTTGCAGAGTTCCAACCTTCACCGGCTGTTAGTCCGTACAAGTGTACAAGCGTTGATCGTAGTAATGGCCTGATGTCGGGGCTCTGAGTTGTAAATGTAGCTAATGTGGACCAATCGTACGCGAAAGCAGGGGATGACTTAGACAAAAGTATTGGCTCTCCACTTCCAACAATAACTGCCGTAACAACTTCTCTTTCTGTGATGTTTGCGTCAGATCTTAGTTCATGAGGAACTTCTAGCGAACTTAGCTCCTCGCGGAAGAGCATTTTATCAATACATCTGTAGTCATCGTAATTTCGGATACGAACTGACTCGTCGCATTTAGTAACTCGAGTTGTAATCGGAATTCCAATTCCTGGCCACTCGTTTAAGTTGATATTCTCGAATTCGTAGACTGCGGACATGTTGTATAACAAATACGACGTCATGTAGTTCGTGTAATTGAGAGATGGGAAATTTTTGTTCGTATCGCTGAATGTAGTGATAGAAATCTTTGTTTTACGGGAGAACGGGGTCTCAAATGTTGGTGTGACTGGAGTGATAACTTCCTTGAGGCCATCCAATATGATTGCGCTCAACATTCCCAAAAATTGCATCTGAGCTGAGGAATATGGGTTGGATTTGAGCTTTTCCTCACGTAATTTCTGTATATATTTGTTTACTTTCTCACAATGCTCGCGCTGCTTGGCATTTAGGTTCGGTCCTTTGCATAATTCGAAAGTTTCTTGTAATGCGGCGATTTCACGTTCGTAATCTTCAGAAATAAGGTTCATTTCTTTGTCTTTGGCCTTGTTAATGATGTTGAACATGTCAGACCAAAAAATTCGTCCGGATGTGAACCAATTTTGAGAACAACGGTTTCCGCCTTTGTAAGCGTTCGAAACTAACTCTTCGCGTAAGAAGTCCGATGTATTTAAGCGCAGATAGAGTGTATTTGCACTATTCCAGCCTGAGAAGAAATTCGGATATCCGTTCTTTGCCAAAGTAATGAGTTCATCGACTTGGCTACTCCATGATTTGTCTTTGTCAAGTGTGATGTTGAGAGAAAGATCGCCTTCGAAGGCTGGGCTGTTCTTGGCACTCATTTTTTCTGCATTTTCCATTCCTTCGCAGTAATAATATTGTTCTCTGCTGCAAAGTGGGAAGAATGCAATATTTGGAATCTTGTAGTGCTCGACTAATGATTGAAGGAGTCTTTCAATTACGTAGAAATGAACGTATCTCCTCCTTTTATCATAGCTAAAACGTGCTGTATAGTCTAGAACTTTTTCAAATACCATGTGGACTTGCTCTGGTAATTCGAATACTGAAAAAACGAACTTGTATTTCATTGGAGGTGCTTTTGAAACTTCGGAAGTAATAAACTGATCAGTTGAATTGGTTTTATTTTGGTATGTTGTGAAATCGAAATTTTTGAACCATTTCTCAAGGGATTCTTGAGATAATGACTCTTTCTTTATCATATCGTTTTGTCCGATGAAAACAACTGATACTGGTATCTTAACAACAATTTCTGGTATATGTTTTTCAATATCGTCCAAAACTGATGATGTTAGAAGGAATAAACTAAAAAGAAACATTAAAATTGAATTTGAATAAAAAATAATCGTTTTTCTCTTTTCAGATTTCCCTAAACTGGCCATAATTTGGATGTTGAACATATAACATGCGTCAATTTATATAATAGCATTTTGGGCTAACTTCATTCGAAATTTCAATTTTATATTTTTATAATTAAGGTTGTGGAAGAAATTGAGATTAAAAACAGATATAATTTTCCAAAGTAGCGATAGTATTTCTATAGATTTTGGATAAACTTAACCTTTTAGTAATGGATATTTCAAATTTATCCAAAATATGCAAAATTAACGATATATTCTCTGGCAAAAATCCATTTTCTCTTGATGGCAATTCTATTTATTTTATTAACCGACTTTGTAGATTTCCCCGCCTTGACCCTTTGAAAATTTAAAGTGATGTTTGGAAAGCTGGAAGTAAAATTGATACCGAGGAAGAACTCGGATGGAAACAGAATTAAAAAGAAGAATGGAAATCCTTTACAAAGATTAAATGTAGAAAGTTCTGCACATTTGCATGACATCGCTCGATATATTTATAATTTAGCGTTTCAGAAAGAAGATCCTCACTTTGAGATCGGACTTTATTTATCATCGAATGGAGTAGAATCCAAATTACCGCTTACGCTAACTGTTGGAGAGTTCGCATTCATTACCCATCAAACTAATTCGGTCGAAATTAAATATTCATATAACAAAGTACATATAGATGAACCGCCACGACCTGTACCACCACCTCCACCTCCTCAATCGAAAATTACACAGCAAGATATTATCGCGCAACTACAACCTACATTTTTACCACCTCTACCTTCTCAGCATCCAATTCCTGAAGTTAACGAAACTAAAGCTCTTGATAGTGTGATGAAACCACAAGAATATAATCCGCCTTCTATTAGATTTGGCGAAGGCATGTCAAATATACTATTTAGCACTGGATTAACACTATGGAATGACTCTTTTGGGCCGGTTCCGATGGAAAAGAAGAATTCGAATCCCTCAACTGGCGAGAAAAATTCAACTCCAGAATCGGAATGTCTGAAAAACCAATTGGAATCACTTATGCAGCAAGGAAAGCATTAATTGTATGTAATAAACCTAAACTATTGTTTCTTAGATTTTATGTAATTAACAAAATACTTTTTATAGTCTTTCTCACCATCTTTTAACTTTGCATACTGCATGAGAACTACGTGCTTGTACGTTAATTACTAGATTTTGAATCGAAATACAACGCAATATTTCAATATCAGATTTATGTCTTTTCTAATTAGTAATAATACAAAGTAGATAAGGATGAGAAAAATCATGAGAATAATTATGAAAGTTTAGATATCTCATATTATATTCTCAAATGTATGTTTATATGTGGGAAAATACATGTGATTGAATTTATCTAGACATAAAACTTACATTAATGCATTAAATACTCATTCTTGTAAAATGAAGATGAAAATTAATTTGGAACCAGAACCTGAAGATCCTCAAGACATAAAATCAAAGACAAATTCAGGTTCTGCATTTATGACAACAGATAAATCGGGTCTTTACTTTTCTGTATTATCAATATTTGTCGTTCAAGCTGTAATTATTTATTCAACAATGAATAATAGCAACAATATGAACTTACAACAAATTCCATCCACAACAAAAATCTATAATTACCAAAATGAGGTGTACTTACCGCTGCCATTTAATTCGATTATCATTAACATATTTAGATTTTTCTTAAGAATACCAAATGAAGCCGGAGTAGTCATTTTAGCGTCACTTTATACATTTATATCTACGTTTTTATTCAGAAAAGTATTGCGAGTTCTGAAATTATCGAAATACGCAAATCCTATCACATGCATATATCTAATATATCCATTTTCACGAATTACATCATGCTGTATTGCTTCACGCGATATTCTTTTATTAATTTTAATATATTTATCTATCATCCTCTATCATCAAAATCAGTATATAGTTCTTAACTTTATTTTACTTTTAGCAAGTATTACATCAACAGAAGGTATCATTCTCTATATTGCAGCAGCACTTTCTTATACTTTTAGAAATACTATCGTTACTTTTATATACACAATACAAATATATCCAGTATACCTATTACAAGTGAAAATGGGATTCCAAACCTTGTTATTACCAAACTTTATTGAATACTTGAAATTTTTCATTACTTCAATCAGTTATGTAAGAGAAACAAACGGTATTCTTGAATACATACTAATATCAATTTTCGGTATCCTATTCATTTGGTTCCATTCTCCTTATGCGTTTGTTTTATCGTTTTTATTTTGGCTCAACGGCTTAGTTCTCTCAATATCAACTGATATCGTCAGAGGAATGACTATTCCATTAACTCTGAGCTTGATTGGCTTTTCTTCTTTAATAACTCCAAGATTAAGATTTGCCTTATACGCATCATCAGTGTTATTTTTAATCCCAGCTGTATTCCATGCTTCCTTGCCATTTATCCAATTCCAGCCTTCAAAAGATGAATTAGTGAATTAGACCTTAAAAAGAAAAGATTTTATTATAAGTAACAATGCAAGCTAAGTTAAGTCCTTTTGCTTCATAAGGTCAAATCAAATGACAAAGATAATTTTTCAATATTATCCTTATTTTGACCTTTGGTGACAGTTTTAGCCAGAACAGTTAATATATGACCATGAAAGCTCTTGAGAGCACCTACTGTCAGACTTTTCAGATTCCTTATAAACCAGATCCGTCCTAAAATAATTCCGCTACGACCTCAGAATTCTCTCAATTTTTGTGGTTCTGACGGAAATATTTTTAGATCAACCTTTTGATAATTTTCTGTAATTTGTTTATTTATGTCTTCCTTGTTAATAAAAATAATTTCATAAATTTCATTTTCAATGGTTTTATCATTGAAAAGAACCATTTTGTAATATTACGCTACATATGATCACGCGATGGTTTGATTTTTCATCGCAATTTGATAATAAAATTTTTGTTGTCAGATTGACACTGGAATTCTTCAATGGAAACAGCTTGTAATTCATTGAGGAATGCAATAGCCAGTGGCAAAACAGACTCAATAAATCAAGAATTTGTCGTTTTTAGTCGCGTTTTTCACGAGAAATTGAAATATAACGATAATCAAAATGTGATCCATAAATTATTCTCGAAAGACACATCATACGATCAAGGCATCTCAATCTATAAATTAATGGTCGAAAAACATACACTAGCGCAAATGGATTATAACATTTACGTTTCAAATTTAATAAATGTTTTTTCATATTTACTTGGTCCAGGCATGCCCTTACCAAAATATAGAGAATCATACTCAGTATACCTTGATCTCCTCTCTACCCTTGAAATTGAACCAGACACGATGCAAGCTTTCGGAAACCTCTTATTTCAATCGACCTATCGAACATATTCACCGATATTCAGTCAAAGGCAAATACGAGATGCTCAAAAGGAAAAGAATGTGCAGTTTAAACAGGAATTAATTCAGATTTTATCAAATCACATCGTAGACAACAAAGATAAGATAGAGCACTGGTGGTATTTACTATGTTGTTCGATATTACCGAAATTAAAAAATGATTCGCTCAACAAATCTTTTCCAAACGAAGAAATTTATTTTAATTACCAATTAATTCTCAAATTAATCCTCGACAAAGCCGTACTAAAGAAGCAGCACATGTATTTTAAGTATCCAGACCTACTATTACGATTGGCAATTAAAGTTTTTTCAACAAATCCAGATTTCGTTTTTCAATTCTACGACAACGTCGAACAAGACATGCTAGGAAAGCTTTTTATTAAAGCAGTGAAGAGAATGGACTCAGAAAGCGTATCTTTATTCTTGGTTTTTAGCATCAAATTTTTTGCTCAAAAATTCGCACAGCAAGAGTCATCAGAAACAAGTACAGAATATCTAAAAGCTCGTAACCACTACAAATCACTCATTTTCGACGTCTGGAGTAAAATAATTGAACATAAATACGCAACTTTAATTTTGGACAGCCTTACAGAGAAAGCCTTTGAGTCTTACGAACCTTTACTTATATTCTCAATACTTCTCTTGAGTTACAAGACAGGAATCATTCCTCCGAAAGATATTTTGAGTAAAATCTCTCAAATGGACAATTCGACCAAGTCAGCAGCCGCTGCGTTCTCATGTATATTGGCCACAGTGTTCGCGCATCAATTGCTGAAGGTTGAACAAAATTTTAGCTTTGATCGCGATTGTACGACCTTTGTTGTCAAATTTGAGAATTCAGATATAATTAACAGGCATCTGCTGATTACTACGAGACATTTAATCAGAGGAATTTTGATTATATCTGATACTCGGCCAATTGACCAAGCGAATGAGTATTTGAATGTCTTCTTTAAGAAGCATGAGATAGATTCAAGTATTTTCTATCTTTATTCATGTTTTAACGAGATGTTGATTTGTATTGCGAATTATGAGATTCCTCCCAGCATCAGTTTCGATCCTTTATCAGTATTCGAGTCCCAGATCCACAAGTTCATTGCGATAAGCGACGGATGGCTCCATCCGGACATAAATTTCACTGGAGTTTCAATTCTCATACATATAATCGAAACAAGGAACTGCGGACACAACATGAACCCCAGCATGGCCATACGGTTCGCAACCGCTATTTTGAGAGCTGTATCGTTGTCAGATCCAAATCGAGCTGATGTCTCTGCGTATTTACTTGCCAGAGCTATTAGCATCGGATGTCCCATATTCTATGTGCTCAGCTCCTTCTTTCTGGACTTCATTGGCTACTATTTACTCGAAATTAACCCAGAACCAAAAATTGTTTCGGCTTTGATCAGCATTGCAGAGTTTTTCAGGTTCCACGACTTCAAAATGGCCATTGATGGTATAGAAACACGTGTTAAACAGCTACTAAGAGACACACAGTGCAGATTATCAAAATTTACTCAAGATTTCTTTTTCGTTTCGAGCCCAGCAAAGATAGAAGCACATAACATGCCAATCTCAATACGCGCAGAACAGTTACTTGCAGATTGGCTGGATAAATGCCCATCAACTGCAATTTTGATGGCGATTTTGATAACAATACAAAGCGTAACAGCGAGTAACTTCACGCCCTCCCAGAAAATACTCAACTCATTCAGTAGCACAAACTCCCTAAAGATGTTTAACGGTGACGTAGCAATGGCTCTCAATTCTTTAACCGAAGTTTGTAAACTATTGAATGAAAAAGTGACAACTTTTGTGGACGATTTGATGACATCTCTTACAAATAATTTCTTTGTATCACAGGATATATGCTTATTGTTTTTACTTGTGAATTACGCGATAACTACAGATCCGAAGAAAAATTTGACAATTTTATTAAACAGAATCATCGAAACAAAGAAAGGAGCAGCTAACTTATTCATAGATATCATCATTAACCACATCGGCTCCATCAATTCGACATCTTCCCCCGTTTGGAACAAAATTCAAGCAGATAATGCAGTTTCCATCGGAGTTTCCTCACAAAACATACTCCAAATTGTAGAAGATGTCGTAACAGTATCACTAGTTGTAACACAGACCGCTTCTGGCCGCTCAACTCATCAATTTAAGCCGATTTCGAAACGAAAAATCGAAAAAGATGGGGAATCCGAGGTAATTGAGGACAAAATCAAGGAGCCAAGTACAGAAACAGTGATTAGCGAGTACAGCCAACCACCTCCTTTGTTCTCTTATCTCAGGGAACAGTTAGTAAAGCGAGGATTTGAATATTTGCTGACATCTTCACGAGATATTGCTAATATTAATATTGATCAGACAGAAGAAGTGTCTCCTATATCAAGCGAAGGCGAATTAATGTCTTCAAAGCTAAGTTCTGGCTCAGATGATATTTTATTTGACACAACATACGCTGCAATGGCCGGACTTGACCTCTACGGAGATTTCCTTTCCCAGGCGAATATCCCGATCGAATCTTCCGATCTCAAAAGGCTCCTAAACATGCCTTTGAGATGTAATGTCCATATTCCTGTCACTTTTTATCCGAAAAATTGCAGTGACCTAACAACTGCGAAAAAGACAAAATGGGACGAAACCAGTTATCTTTTCCAGCAATTTACGAGTTCTCTTGGAAAAGCAACGAAAGACCAATGCGTTCTGAATTATTCTTCATGGGACGCAGACATTTTCTTTGAAATAAACCCACTGCTTATCAAGCATGGGAGAATGATTATGCAGAAACCACAAATACCGATCGAAGTGATCTTCTTCGAGTCTTACATCCCGCCTTTTCTCTTAAATTCGACAACAACTCCTACTATATACATTTTACCTCTCAGAACTGGTTTGATACGTGTCGAAGTGTCGAAATTGATTCAACCATTTGGACCAATCATAGGAGAGGCCTTAGTTACACCTGAAGTGTTGCCTGGCCTCCTCAGATCAACTGTTGCATGCATTTGGTCATCAATTTCTCCTTCAGAGAAGTCGTTGAAGAATCTGGGAATAAGGCAGAAGATGAAGAAGAGGATTAACAGGATCGCTGATAACATCAAGGTTCATCAGTTCAATGAATCAAGATATGAATTTCTTTAGTGTTTTGTAAATTTTAATTTGTATTTCGAATTTTTTATTAGTATTTTTGATATACTCAGGGTGACTTTTTTAATAGATAAACTTAGCTTATTTTAGAGATTTAAGAATATGAGAATAAATAAACTCAGGGAGAATGTAAAACTGTTTGCATAAACTGCAAATATGGCTTGTATATCACTCAATGAATACTTAGTGAATGATCGTTATTAAGTTTTTAAGTCTTCATATATTTGACATAAATTTTTATACTGTCATATTGCTAGAAACTTTATTGACTCATAGAGTAAATATTAATTTATCGTTCCTGGCTATTGCATTCATATGATTATTTGTTGGAAATTAAAAATATGCGTTTTTATATATAGATACTCTAGTAATAGCTTTGAACACAGCATGTGATTACATTTTACTTATTCTTGTTGCTTGAATAGCAGTATGATTTTATGCATTCTATTGAAGAAGAATTTTTTTTTCAAAAAAATTTATGAGAGGCTTTTCAGAAGAGCTAAAGCCTAAAATTTTTGTGACTATTGCAAGGAATATTGAGATTGATAGTGTTACAAAAGAGACAATCCTTGCAATTAGCCAATCTGGCGGAGTTTATTTGTATTCTCTAGTACCAGATTACTCAAATTATAACATAGATTATCAACGAAACAGTCAAAATCCTAATCAACCATCGATTCCTGAAACAGAAATTGATACAAATAATGATCAAGTTGCAATTACAAGCGATTCTCAAATAGAATGCATCGGAACTTTAAATTTAGCCAAAGATAAACGCCAAGTAGATATCCAATTTAATGATTTTAATAATATTTTAATCGCAACAGGTGTAATTTATAAAGATGTATTTTCAACAGGAATTTATTCAGTTTCCGTGACGGGACTACAATTGATTCATATAGAATGTTACAGTGGTGCTACAGCTTTGGGCTATGATCCAATGACTAGTTCTATAATTGTGTTACCAAGAGCTCTTAATGGATCCATTGTAACATTTTCACAAATATCAAGTGATATAGATCCGTTTCGCCCCGAGTATATTAAGAATTTCTCAGTTGCTGGGTATGGACATAAAAGAACTACGAATATGAGAGTTAGTCCTGTTAGTCCAACGCTTATTATTACATGGTCAGATGATAAACTACCCATTATCTCGCTATGGACCCTCTCACAATTGATTTGGAATAATACAACTTACAATTTTACAACAAAATCATATATACAAGCAATAGAATTTGATGAAACGGGACATAAAATAGGTATAGTTATAGCACAGACCAGAAAAACTATAATAGGAATTTGGACAATTCAAAATAATAATTTTGTTCAACAAAACATCATGATAGAAGATAATATTACTGTAAATAGAGCGAAATGGAAGCCTGACATATCCCCAAGCGGCTCTTCCTTCTGCGTTTGGACTCCTCGAGGAATGATCGAAGCAAATGGAAACGAACTGATCAAATGGCGCCAGGATTCAGTCAGATCATACATGTTCGCGGTTTCCCGTGGTGGTTTCCACGTTTATTTCGATAAAAGTGGAATTCTTAAAATTGCGGGATCACGGACCATGGAAGCCGATAGAGAGAACTCTACAATCATTGGAGAGAAGGCTCCACCACTTTCATTCATAAAAGCTATAATGAGTGGCAAAATGTTAAATGCATCTGGCGTCCATATGCAAAGATGTTATAATTGTAGGGCCCCACTCCAGTATCCCCTTATTTCATGCGAGGAAGGAATCTCTGCTTGTTATTGTAGTTACCAATGCCAGGAAAAGCATTGGCCATTGTATTTTGCTAGTCATCAGCCTTTGTTTTTTGATGAGGATGATAGAACATAAATAAATTGTCTTTGTATTTTTTAATATTTAATTTTATTTTTCTAATTTTTTAACTTATTAGCTTAATTCAACAGAATATCTTTCTTTTATGTTATGCTTATCTTTGTTATTATGTTTATTTTATAATAGTTCAGTCATTTTTATTTTTGTTTATATGAATCCTGATGAGATTTCTCAAATTGTCGCAATGAATGATGTCGAGGCATTATCAAAATTAGAGCTTGATTCATGGACCGAGACCAAATATCAAATAAATACAATAGAAAAAACAATGCAAATTCCATCTGCAGGACTGACGCTAATACATATAGCGGCTTTTTATGATTGCTTAGAATCATTTATATTTTTAGAGAAAAAAGGCTTATCTTTCACTACAGTTTCTACAAATTCTTTCAATACTTTATATTATATATGCTATGGAGGCTCAATAGAAGTATTTGAATACGTATTTATTAAAATCGGAAGAGATCCAAGTCTACAAAGTCTCCTAAAAGACATTTTTGAAGAAGATATTTTTTATATTATTAAACACACATCATTATTAGACCTCGCAATACTCGCACCATGCAACCAATACGAAATTGCAACAGCTCTATTCAAGTTTGGATACGGTTTCAAGAAAAACGGAGTAGATTTTCGTGCAGAATTTGCTCTTAATCCAATCAACAGTACCATTAAGCTGTCAAATGCTAAATGCTTAGAATACCTCATTCAATTCAAGAAGATAAACCAATTTGGTCTTTCTCCACTTCAAATTGCGATTGCAACGAATACTCAAGAAGCAATTCCTATTCTAATCAAACAGAATGGAGACTTACTATATAGAAATGAGCATGGAGAGACCGCTCTTTCAATTGCATGCAGGCTGAAAAATATTTACGCTGTAGAACAACTTTGTTCATCAATGAAACGATTGGAAGAAGAGACACATGGTATAGATGGCGCTGCACATTGGCTTTGCAGTTCGAACAGCCTTGAAATCGCAAAACATATTTTGCAACATCCTATAGATATAAATAGAAAAAATATGTTGGGACAATTATGTACAGGATGTTTCAAACCAAAGAAGGAGAATGCTAAAGAGATAGTGCAGATATTGGAACTTCTTTACAGATATGGTTTGGAACTGAATGACCCAACATATCCTGCAATTCAGCCATTCATTACAGGAATGACAATTCTTCCGGAAATTGTTGACTGGTTCTTGGAAAAGGATATAGATATCGATATACAAATAACTAGACACACAGGGTTCTTCTCTATTAGAGATATAATCATGTCGAAAAAGGGAATACTAAAGAATGTGATAGATAAATATCATATCCAGCCTTCTTCATGAAATCTAAAAAAATTGTTTTTCTTTCTTTGTTTGTTTAAAAATTTTACACCTTTTTTTTACATCGTACGCTCTTGTATAAGAACATATATCTCTAGCACAGTAGCATCAATAGAGATTGAGATGAATCATATAATGCATTCTATAGTGGTTTGACTTTAGGTTGTTTAGATACGAAATTCATGATATTAGAAAATTACAATGAAATATGTTAAAATCGGTTCCTTTGGAATAACGTGATATTTTATTGAAACATACTTAAGTCTAAATGGATCTATTAATGAAATTATGCTGAGTCAACTCCTCTTCAATTTGCAGTAAAAGATAACTCAATTAAAAAAGGCTAAAATTCTTATTTGATTAGGTAAAGCTACTAATATATCAGATAGGTTTGATTGTGATATAGATGTTGTAGAGACATATCATAAAATAAATCAATAGGTGTTGTAGGGATATCGCTATTTAACATGAAATAGAGTGATGGCAAAATTCAATAATCAGCCATAAATAATGCTGGTTAAAATCTTTTCATAGCTTCGTCTTTCATTCCAAATCAATTACAATCATTTTCAAGATGCCTAATCGGTCAGTGATAAGGCCATAATTTTCAGGGTACAATAATTCAATAATATCTTCGATAATGAAACAAATTCAATATCACATTCGTCACAACTTCTAAAAATCGTAAGGACTCATTCAGATTTTGTCTTTCTGGAGGTGAAAACATCATAATAAATATCTAATTCTTCTGATTTTTATATAAATATATAATTATATTAGAAAATGGGACATTTTAAGAGAAAAATTTACAAGTAATATTTTCCTAATCATATTTTCCCTAGAGGAATTGAAAACAAGTACTTTATATTTTATCAAATACTAATTAAGTTTTTTTTGCATCCTTAGATGTGCTTGATCTTATTCTTGAACTCATTGTAGTTCTCTGTTGTAATGATCGTGATCAATCTCTTATTGATCTTCCTGAGAGTGAATGGATCTTGTTTTGTTGTTGTCAAGAGGTGTAACCATGTATTGTAATCAAGGACAGTTCCATCAGGAGAAATAGCAGGTACCTGGATTGTTTCGCCTGTAATGAAGTCCTGCTTATTCTTGATTGGATTCTTTTGGGCCATTTTTTCATAGAAACCGATGACATTTGTTTCTGGAGCAGATTCCTCTTCTGAATCAGAATTGTCCTCTGAATCTTCTTTATTGCCTGTTCCTTTGTGATAAGACTGGCGATCTTTGAAATGAAGGTTGCCGTCCTCATCCTGCCTGTAGTATTCATCATGAACTTCGCCTGACTTAACAAGCTTTCTGTAGTAGTTCGCGCATTGATATCCTACACGGCCTGGAATTGCTTCAGAGAAAATGCCCCACTTGCCTTCATTGATTCCTTGCTCTCTGATCTCATGGAGTCTCTTGAGAAAGAGGCGGTGCTCCTCTGGACTCCATGGACCATTCTTTTGCTTCTCGCCTGGTGGAAGATTTCTGTAGAGGTAAGAGTTAGGATTGGACTTCATCTGCTTGTAAGATTGCTTGTGGGCATCACTCCATGTGTTCCATTCCTCTTCTTTTACCTCAGGTGGACATGGAATGTTGAGCTTTTGAGGTTTGCGAGCTCGCTTAACGTTTCCGCGGGAACCACGGTTACTTGTTTCGCCTGTTGCGTAGGTTCCGTAGTAATCTCCATCATCAGAGCTTTCATCATCGTCTGAATCTTCATCTTTCTTAGTATTTTTTGCTTCTTCAAGGGCCTTCTTAGTTATTTCCTTTTGTAGTTGCTTGCGAGCACTTCTTGTGCGTGGACGCCTCGCAGCTGAAGTACGAGACTTGACTTCTTTGTTAACTTCCTTTTGGAAGTCAACATCTTCGATTGTAAGAAGTAATTCGTCAGGGTTCATGTCCTTCTTGAGGAAGGCTATGTAGTAATGAAGAGGCGAAGGAGCTTCCCAAAGTTTGACAAGTTGAGACAAGATTTTGTTTAACTGATTGATACGAACCGTGAATGTTCTCTTCCTATTGTTAAGGATGGCTTGCTGAATGACTGGATCGTCTTCAATGTACTCATCCTCGAAATAAGGCATGATTTCCTCAAGCCTGATCTTATCTACAGCAATTGCAGAGTTTCCAGAGGTTGGGGAATCACTAGTAATTGGTTCACGAACGTTATCATATAACGAAGCATTATCAACGAGCGACATTCAGGCGAAATGAAAAAAAGGCGCCAAAATTTAGTTGAGGAAGTAAAACCGCTTCTCTCAAATCCTCTCAATTTTTGACGCTATTTTATTTTGTGAACAACTCGTTGATATTTTATTATACATATGATTTTGAATAAAATGTTGAAAATCTTGCCTGGTTTGAATTTCGAATTGTGTAAAATCTCAAATTTATTGTTTTCTGTTCCTATAGCTTTAGGGAAGACTCAGCAGCAATAATCATTGACTTCATTTTGCCTGTTAACTTGATTTTATTTCAATAATTATTATTTTGAGCGAGTTTTCAAAACAATGAATATATCTGAATTTGTTAGTACTAATATTATGAAATCATCATGGAATTTTGTTGATATCTCTCACTTTTTTAAAAAATAACTTTTTATATATTCTGAGCGTTTTCATTCATAAAACAATAAATTTTATTGGCCAAAGAGTACAAATATCTATATAGTTTAATTGAGTTCTGATTTTATTAACTTTTTATGAAAAACTTCAAATTTCGAATTCTAATAACCGAAATCCTTTTATTCATCGTCTGTATACTTGAAATCCTATATCATCATTAACTGAAATTATGATAAAAAATACTGTTATGCTCCTACTCACATTCAATTGTATAAAACTCAATTGAATTAACTTCAGAAAACCGAGTGTATCGTATTTTTCATGTCTGCATAATATGATGGAGAATCAAATTGAGAAATGAAAATTAATTCGGAGATAGTATAATTCATGATGTCATAATTAATTTTATTGAAGAAACAATAATAAATATTAATTATTTTTCAAAATAAATCTCTATATAAAAATAAATTTCATTTTTCTTCTGATTTTTGCTTATCGATTGCGGAATCAGCGTTTTCTTCTGGTTTCTTAGATTCTTCTACTGGAGTCTTTGGTTTATCGACTTCCTCCTTTTCTGAAATTTTATCGTTTTTATTTTCTTGATCCTCCTCTTTATTTTCACCAGATTTGAGCTGTTCGCAAGATAAACCACCATACTTGATCAATAACTTCTCTACTTCTTCGAAAAGGTATCTTCTTGCGATATCGACTGGGGTTAACTCTTCTTCATTGAGAACATTAACATTAGCACCATTCTCAAGAAGAAGTTTAGTGATACTGTATCTATTAAAGTGAACTGCAAAGTGTAATGCTGTGTCGCCTTCTTCATTTTTGATATTTAGATCGAATTTCTTGGAAATCAGATATTGGACAACTGTTAATTCGCCATCTTTGGCTGCTTCGACCAAGGCAGGTTCACATCCAGGAATTGCTTCTGGAGCTCCGTTTTCTGTGAAATAGTAGACATATTTGTAAGAGGCCATGTGTATGCAATTGTACAGAGAAACTTCTTTGCCGTCATATTTTTCCATGATTTCATCAAAAATTTCGTCACGCCTGTACCAGACAGCATTAAATGTGCATGTATCGTAATTAATATCCTGTTTATCTTTGTATTTATCAATCAGAAGTCTGTTATTCGCTGCAACAGCAGCTGCCAAACATTCATGATTGAATTCAGCTCCAATTTCGAAAAGATAATCAATACATTTGGGAGTATTAAAGTAAATAGCTGTCATTAACAAACTTCTTTCGGTTGTGCTTAAGTAAGGTTGGTTAATTAACTGATTAGGGTTGAAATCTTCTTTTGATGCATAATCTTTGAGTTTTTCAATATTGTCAGTAATAATTGAATAACCAAGAGAATCTACTTCGTAACCGTATTCCATGATCTGATCAAAAATTGCCCAATCATTTTCTTTTAGGTTTGGGATGTTCGGAATAATATCCTTTCTTCCAATTTCTTTTGCAAACATTAGATGGAATCCATCGAGAAAAACTGTTTCGCTGACTAACTCTGCAAACGTGAAAATTCCAAGTTGATACAATCCACGCACAAGCTTACTGTATGGAGCAATTACGTCGCATGATCCGAACACGTATAATAGGGAATTTTTGAATGAAGGCCACTTCATACACAGCTTGTACGTAATTTGAATGATATTTTTAATATTTTCAGCACTCATTACTGAGTTTATGATGCACAAATTGGCTAACTCATCATAATAATCGACTGTGTAATGAGTTTCAATGTAATTCATGTCATCATCTAGCGTTTCGGGCGTTGTCTTCTTTAATATTTCTTCGAATTTCAACATTTCATCGAAAAATCCGAAACTTTGGACGTCTGCAATACGTGAAACCCTTTTCATTTCAAATACTGCAGCGGTTGTTATGTAAACTAATCAAAATATTTTTTTATCAATAGGATCATTATTACAGAATGCAATATGATATCTCTACCGAATAAGGTAATATTGGATTTAAAATGACATTGAATTAATTGAAAAGCCAATCTTTTCAATTTTGATTATGCAATATTCACATTGTATCTTGCTTTTATAAAAAGATATCGAAATGTAATGAACCCACATTTGAATATGCCACTTTTTGTTGACACCGTTTAATAAATTTATCTAAATATTAATAGCAAAGACAAAATATAGAATATTTCACTTTTTTGCTTTCAAAACTGAAAAATTTGAAAAAAATGATTATGTAATCGTTTTTTGCTATATCAAAAATTAAATATGAATAAATAGTTTATCAAAATTATATTTATGATTAAATTGTAATAAACAGAAATTGATCAAAAGTGACAGCTCTCAATTTTTTGACATTTGTAAATTCTAAATTGAATGAGAAAAATGAAATAATACTAAGCATAATACAATATTCTAGATTTAATTATAATTAGGAAAAAGTTAGTTTTGAGAGTACTTTCATAGGCATATAGAATGAAATCTTCTGAAAAATAATATCACATAAACTCATATATTATTTTCTAATATATAACTATTTTATATAAAAATCAAATTCAATGATCTTAAAAGCGAAGGATAAACCTCAAAATTTACGAATATAATGAGTGGAATATAATGCTTATCTATCATAAAACCATATGAAATATCAATTTTTGCTTTACGCCTAATTTTTGACGACAATTAGCAAAAAATGTTAAATGTTAACACTCAGTCCATTTGAATATGAAAAATAAAATTGACTTTGATTAAATGTTTTTATTTATCATGCAATTCTTCTTGCGACAAAGATTTGAATAAAAGTTCAAAAAATAAGATAGCTGAAAAAATAATATACGGTAGTGTTTACTAATAAATGAATAGTATATAAATTCTATTAAAATGGATCTGATCCAAAAAAATATATAAAATTTGATCATAAATAAAATCGTTTTAAATTACTTCTTCATTTAAATTATAACAATTATTTTTGGTTTTATATTTTTTTGGATCAAATCCATTTTAATAGAATTTATATACTATTCATCTATTAGTAAACACTACCGTATATTATTTTTTCAGCTATCTTATTTTTTGAACTTTTATTCAAATCTTTGGTCGCAAGAAGAATTGCATGATAAATAAAAACATTTAATCAAAGTCAATTTTATTTTTCATATTCAAATGGACTGAGTGTTAACATTTAACATTTTTTGCTAATTGTCGTCAAAAATTAGGCGTAAAGCAAAAATTGATATTTCATATGGTTTTATGATAGATAAGCATTATATTCCCACTCATTATATTCGTAAATTTTGAGGTTTATCCTTCGCTTTTAAGATCATTGAATTTGATTTTTATATAAAATAGTTATATATTAGAAAATAATATGAGTTTATGTGATATTATTTTTCAGAAGATTTTGTGTTCTTCTTCAAAATTTTATTTTTTTATTAAAAAGAATCTTTACAAAATATACATTTACTTTAATTAATATTTAAAAACGTGCTCTATCAAAAGTTCCAAAAATTCAATATTTTAGCTTTTCTGAGGTGTCACTTTTGATGAATTTCTGTTTACAACAAAATATCGACTGTAACACAATTTTTTTAATCAAATTATTGAAAGAAAATCGATTCACAGTTTTATTAAACATTCACTAAATTATAGTAAATAAAACAATAAATTTGATCAACATGTTTTCATGAATTGCTATTGTTTATAATCTCGCCAATCAAATCAATAAAAGTGAGACTAAGTATATTGCAAAACCAACTAACTCATAAAATAAATGTTTGATCAAGCATCATCATATCATTCATTTCCTATTGCACATATAATTTGATACGCAAATCTATGAATCTGTATCATTCACCTGATACACACTCCACAAATAAGTTAAAATATCTTTAATGAACAACATTTTAATCTAATACAAAATCTCATAATATCATAGGTTTCTATTAATAACTGACAATCTTGCTATTATCGTTCTAAATAAAATGCAACATCAACTAGCAATAATTTAATATTTATCAAAAATTCATTGTTTTAATATTCTGAAAGAAATATTAAATCAAACAATAGCGATGGAGGAAGATCTATGTTTAACCAGAGTATATAAATTCCAATACGCATGATAAAACTTTCAAAGACTGAATGACAGTAAAATATCAATTTCATTTTGCCCAAATTTATATTAAATTCGATTTATCCACAAATAAATCATTTTTATATCAGAGGATATTAACATTGAAATTCCGGAAAATTCAGAAGATTATCAGCTTGGAGGACGTCCTCCACTTATAACTCTCTTAATTATGTCACTTGGACCTTTAATATCACAAATTGTCCAAGCTTTGACAAGTGTCATAGGCTCAATTCTTGTTGCAAAATCAATAGGTCAAATAGGTGTTGAAGTATATGGTGCGGTATACACTGTTGAGTTCTTTGCTGTTGCCATTGCTCAGTTCCTTTCAGCCGGACTCAGTGTTCGGCTCAGTTATCTTTATGGAGCTCAAGAGCTAGAAAGTACAGATCAATTATTTGTTGATTTCTTGCGTCTAAGCGTAATATTAGGAATTATAACCCCTTGCATTGTTCTACCAGTTACTAAACCTGTTATTAGGTGGTTTGGAGCTGATGAACTGACCGCAGAATTATCTCTTCAGTATATGTCTCCGATCACAGGAGCTTGCCTATTTAATATTATTTTCTTAGTTTCATCCGGCGTTATATTGGCGGATGGAAAATCTGTTACATATGCTATATTCCAAGTTGCCTCATTTGTTTTAAACATCGGAGTTTTTTCACCGATTCTCTTACTTGGTATCAAGACACCAATTTGGGGAGCATCGCTTGCAACGATTCTTTCCCAAGCTATTCCAGGCATATTTATAACAGTAATGATTTTCAAAGGCAAATTTAGACTTCACCCCACTATTAACATGTTTTGGAAGCCATTCTGTGTCGAAACAAAACATGCACTTAAGATAGGCTTTTCAACACTCATATCTCAGATCTCTCTAACATTACCTTTCTTATTAATGCAGAAATATGCTAATAATGCTGCAATGGCAATCGGACAATACGGAAATGCAGTTGCAGTTTGGGCAGTCGTTGAAAAGCTATATCTTATCATTGGCGGAATTTGCATTGGATTCTCAACTGGATTTTTGAACCCAGGATCTTATGCATTTGGTGCTAAGAACTACAAGAGATTCTTTAAGCTTATGATTCATGGTATTTGGCTTTGCACAGCTAGTTGCTTAGTAATTTCAGTTGTTATTATTTCTGTTCCTGTCCAAATCTCCAAACTATGGTCACAATCCGAGTCATTCTTAGAAATGTCTAAGAAGATCACGCCAATCCTTTATTTCACAGCTTTTACACTTGGTATGCAGTACATGGTTCCTGTTGTCTTGCAAGCATCAAAGAAGATCTTTGCATCATCAACATTATCTGTTCTTACATTAGTTCTTCCTGTTCCAATCTTCAGTACAATTCTTTACTTCACAGGAGATGGAAAAATGAATCCTCAAAGAATATTTTACACATACACGTGTAATGATTCTTATTCATTTATTGTTTGCACACTCTTCTTCATTAGTCCACTCAAGAAGATGATCAAGGCCATGAAAACAGGATCATTTGAAGATGAAGAAGATCTTAAGAATGAAATTGATAATGAAGAAGAATCTGTTGAAAACATGGATGAACAAGAACGTCCTGCTACGGAAATTTAATCGGAAATACTCTGTTTTTATTATTTTTATAGAGTAAACTCACTTTAGTATTTGATAATACTTGAAAAAGCTTGAATGCACCGAGAAAATATCATATCTATTTCTATCGATAGTAGGAATGTGATTCGATTAGAGTGCATGCATTATTGAAAGAATGGCCGATAGTTTAGAAGTTAGGATCTATTTTATGGCTATTGAACAATTAGAATACCAATGTATATCAGGAGACAAGTATATTGTCTACTGTATTATATCACCTAAACAATTCCTTATGTTATGATTCTAATTTGTACTCAAACAAATTTGTTTTGGAATATGAAAATTACAAAACTTATTTTTCAAGCTTTGATTCAGATTAAAATTGTCCCAATCTGATAAGAATTTAATTGAAATCATGACATTTCTTTGAGTTATTCTTATGATTTCCACAAATTATTTATCGTCAAAGAAATGATATTCTAAATCGAATCTAGAAAGTGACTTTATAATTTTTGATATAAAAAACAAACGGTCAATCTTTTTATAAAATAAAAAATCCACAGTTTAGCGAGTGGACGTGTTTGGATAAAAGTGACATTGGTTTTTATGTCAGCTCCAAAGTTCGAAACAGATGCAGTTCGCTCAATCACAGACCAGTCTATCCAAAGCACACTTAACAACCAAGTTTACGATCACAGCGCCGTCAACAAATGGTCTAGTGAGATTCTTGAAATGACACTTCGTACACTTTGCGAGCGCTTCCCAGCCTACAAATTCGTTTCTCAGTGCCTTATCCTCCAGAAGGCTGGTGGTGGCCTCCACGTTTCCTCATCTTGCTACTGGGATTCAAACTCTGATGGCATGGTTACAGTCCGTTGGGAAAACGAGTCCATGCACTGCATTGTTTCTATCTATGGTCTCGCTGTTCAGTAATTACTTACAGTAAACGGTTAACCTGCCGATAGTAATTTTTCCATTTTTTTTCTTCTTACACCTAAAACCTTGATTTAATATTACATATTTTATGAATCTATTTATTTACATGATTTTAACAATTATATTTTTATAATACATAACAAACAATGGCAGATATAAAAATTGAAATTAGATTAAACTGTATGCATGATTCTAATTACTGCCCGAGCAATATCATCAGGAGTAGACTCGAGCGGAAGTCCGATTTCTTCTCTTAATATACGAAATGCATCATTGACTTCTCTAAATCTTTGTAATTCTTCTTCAGAAAGCTGATCTTGCATGGAAACTGAAATATCATGCATCTCTTTATGACATATCTCTATTGAACTTTTAAGTGATGAGTTTTCTTTCCGAAGTTGTTCTAATTGCGAACTGCAGTCGTTTAACAACGATTGAAGCCTTTTATTCTCTTTGGAGCAGTATCTCTTTGTAGTCTCTAGGTCTCTAAGAGAATCAAGATCACCAGAGAGCTGTTTTCTTTCAGAATCAAGAGCTTGAATTTGATTATTTTTATCAGAAATGAGTTGTTCAAGTTCTTGAATCTGAATCTTATCTTTTTGCAATGTCTGAAGTGATGCATCATATTCTGTTTTCAGTTCAGCAATTTCATTTACGTGATTCGTATTTTCTTTCGTCATCTTCTCCAGTTCGAACTGTTTATCTTTGATAGTCTGTTTCAGCATCTCTAATCTCTTCTGAGCAGCAAACTTGTTGGATTCGAAATCCTCAGAAAGAGTATTTGGAATTGTTAAATCTTCAATTTGACGATGTGTATCATCTAATTGTTCTTCGATTTGAGTTCTTGTTTCAAGAAGTTCTTCAATATCAAATTTCAATTTGTCAACTTGAGTTTTTAGTTCATCAATCTTTTTTGAGTTTCTTGTATCTAATACGTGAAGCTTTGATTTCAAACTTTCAATCTTAGTATCTATATCACCTATAGATTCATGTATACGTTCGACTGAGTTCTTACCTGTCATCTGTTCAAATCTAGCTTGTAAATCTTCGTAACATCCTTCCATTTCTTGCAATTTTTGCTTTAACATACGTTCCTTTTCAACAGACTCTGCCGCATGTTGCTTTTGTTCCTTGAGGTCCTTATCAGATTCTTCCAACATTTCTTCTAAATCATGTTTCAAACGGTCTGATTTAGTAATTAATTGTTTATTTTCTTCAATCAAGATTGCCAAATTTTTCTGCATAAGATCATTATCCTTTTTAGTTTGCTCTGATACGTTTTGTGAAAAATTTTTACCAAAGATCATAAATATATCGTCTAAAGTAGTAATACTTGAATCATAACTTTGTGCTACTGCAAATAATTGTGACAATTGGTCTTCGTATGCTTCACTAAGTTTTTGATTTGTTCGATAATTGATTAAAGCTTGTCTTAATGCAACATTTGTTGATAATTCGCTCTTGAAAAGATCAAACAATAATACGAGTAACTTGAAACTGTTTCCTTGATGCTTTTTTGGAGTATATTCTGATAAAAATTTCTCAACTTCTTTAGCTTTCAGTATAATTTCTTCCTGATCACGTTCTAGTTCCGAAATAGAAGCACTTCTTGAACTGGAGTTAATAGATTCTGATTCCGTCAATATTTCAGTGCTCATTTTACCGTTTTCTATTTTTTTGGCGCCAATTGATGAAAAAGTTTAGTGCCCATAATAAATCGGCTTGCAAAACTTCAAAATGCTATTAACCTTCTCATATTTGATCTAATACTGAAGTATGACAATCTGAAATCAATGTCATCGTAAAATTGAAAAATTATCATCAATATAATATCATAATTCCTATTGAAATCAACATTTTCTTCAAATTGTAGACTTATATTCAAAAGGAAAAAGCAAAACTCGAAATACAAAATTTTGTAAATTTCAGATACGATTATTTTTTGTCGATAAAATTATGAAGGACGAAAAAAGAAAAGACGCAAAGAATTCGATATTGCAGATATACAACATCTGGCCAAACTTTAAGGCCTGGTGTGCTGCCGGTGATCCACCTCCAAAAACTCAAGTCAAATCCCTTTATTTAATGGTATTCTTATTAATCTTCGGCTTTTCCACCGGAACAGTATGGTTCCTTTCAGCATTTGACATCAAATTCGTAGGACAAATAGAACATTTATGGATTTTATTCCTACTTTCTTTCTTGACACTTACACCAGGTTTATATGCACTTTTCATTTCCTACCACTGCTGGAGACGCCACAGAGGCTATGATTGGTGGATTATTCCACATTTCGAGTGAAATCAAATTTTACCGTCACATTGTTTTATTTAAATACTAACAATATCTACATATATTCTAAACATTTCCATTAGACTGTATTTCTATTACTTCTTTTTTTATACATCTTTAAAAAAATTCAATATTTCTATTTTCTCAAAATATTCACTAAAAATCAATGATGTATATGTTTATATAGTATCACTAAAACTCTAATTTTAATCTTTCTTAGCCTTTTGTCGTCTTAATCTTCCAAGAATGAAATTCAAGACGAACATTAAAATTGCGAGCCAAATATATACCTTGGCCGGCTCTATCGCTTCTGAGAAGAAGGCCATGAATCTGCTAAATTCACGACCTAACGCTTCCCAAGTCAATGTAATGTCAAAGCCTTCTGGGAACTGGCGGACAGTTAGTTTATGCTTCTCGTAGTCTTCGTGGAAGTATCTGAGTGTACTTTTATCATCCAAACGAGGATTAAGTTTAATATAGCTTGCATATTGTGGAATAAACGCAATCCAATCTCCTTCCTTCATCTCGGCAACTTTGGCAAACGGAGAATCAACTTCTACGTATCCCAAACTCATATTTGTATCAATAAGTTTTTGTGCCTCGAAAGTTGATGGAAATCCGCATCGGACATGACACATTTCCTGGCAGAAACGGTTAATTGTGTAGCCATCGATTGGATATAAGACAGGTAACAAGTAATTTACCATATCCATTGGAGCTTTCTTCATTGAAGAGATGTGGATGGGCTTGAGGTTCTTGTTCCTGTAGACTAAGATCTCTGGATAGAGCGTAATGTTGAAATACCTTGATGCGGCAAATGAATCGTTCAAGAAAACGGCATAACGCATTGATCCGCCAATGATATGGGCCATTCTCTGGAAAACAATGGATGGAGCGTTTCTTCTGACATGCTGAACAACGTGGGGTGTAAATTCATCTTTTGCAAGGAATTTCTTAAGATCATTGACGTTGTAAAGCTTTTCTATCCTTGCTGGGTATTGCTTTCTCCAGAATTCGATTAAATCAGACTCTTGTCTGATCTGTGATTCGAGATAAGAATATTCTGTTGTGTTTCTTGTCTTTTTAATGAAAATAAATGATGGATTACGCTTTGCACCAACTTTTCTTGCAAATTCTGCATGAGTAAATGTATCAAGAATGGCGCAATGGATTAATCTATCATATGAAGTCTTAAATTTGGCGAAATGGTAGAGGTATGCTGCACTTTCATGGCTCATTACAGATCTATATACTAAAATGATGTAATCGCCAATATTCTTTGTAAAATTCTCAAAGTTGTCTTCTGTAACGTTCTTAAACCCATATTGAGATATATCAATAGAAGTTTCTGAGAAGAATGTAGTGGGAGAATCGTTTTCTGGAGCTGCATCGAAAACATCGAAGGAGCCAAATCTATCGAAACGAGCCTTTCTATCTGGATCATTTAATACTTCATATGCTTCATTAACACGCATCCATTTCTTTTCGGCACCTTCTTCTTTATTTATATCAGGATGTAACTGCATTGTGAGTTTTTTGTAAGCAGATTTGATTTCAGACTTAAGAGCTGATCTTGGAATGCCAAGAATTTGATATGGATCATCGCCACGCTCTAGTTTTGATTGGGTAAGCAACAAAAAGAAAGAAATCAAGATCATTTTGCTGCCGGCAAAAATCGTCACTTTTCTTTCTGTCAAAAATATTCAGAGGAGTTATATAATATTTTATCTCATTTATTCAAATTCATTAAATATCACAGCCAATACGTAAACTTTTCAATTTTGAAGGCTATTCGATTATTTTTGTCAAAATAAAAAATAATCAACATCTGTGTCTATAAGCAGTTCATATTCTATAAACCATTTTTATTGAAAATTCTGAGGCAAACCCAAATTTTAGCTAAAAGTGACAGGGGAAAAAAACGTTTAGTATTAAAAAAAAAGACCGATGAGAGCTTCGTTCGAAATATAGAGGGAACTGAGAATGCGCAACCATTCTCAGGGAATATTGGATGCTATTCCCGTTCCCTCTGTATGGAAAATTGAGGTTTTCAAAGGGAGTTAAAATAATATCAAATTTATACTAATTTACTTCAAAATACAAAAGTATTTGACAGCTAAAATTAGTTACTTTAGCAAGCCTATCAATACCCTTTTACGATTATTGTTACTTTTTCGAAATAAAATAAATTTATTATCAAAAACCTTTTTTTTCTTAGTAAAAATAAACGAAATTTTTTACCTTATGAACTTTTGATGGAAATATGCAAATTTAAAATAATAAAGAAAGCCGCGAGCGAAGCGATCGGCTTAGTTCGAAGATTTTGATTCAAATCTTTGCTGATCTGTAATTCGCGGAAGCCGCGAGCGAATCGAGCGGCTTAGGTCTAAGATTTTGATTCAAATCTTTGCTTATATTCCTTAAATTCTTTATGAAACTCGCAACAGTTCCATAAAAAATTTTAAATTCTAAACTGTCGAAATTACCGATCGGTAATCACACCCTTCACGGGTGTGTCACTTTTTACAAATGTGTCACTTTTAGCTAAAATTACCCCTACTCAAAATTTTTAATGAGAATTTAATAAATAATATCACGTTCATACTCCATATACACCTTATTAAATATGCATAATGATCAACTACAAATTATCAAAAGACTCAGTTGGTATAGAGAATGTAACAGTTTCAGATAATCAGTATACGTTCGGATATCCATGCGGTGACAGTTTAGAAGACTGCACACCATATACTATCAACCTCATTGGAGGAACATTTCTTATTGAAGCATGGGGATCGGCTGGCTCCGCTCAACACACCCAAACTCAAAATTCACTGCCTGGCCTTGGAGGATACTCCTCAGGCGTTTTAGTCGTAAAAAAATCGTTGACACTCTACTTATATATTGGATCCATTTCATTCTTTAATTCCATTTTTAAATATGTGCCAAGTTCCAATTGTTTCTTCGGAATTGGGGGAGGATCTTCTGATGTGAGATTATATGCGAACGAAACGTTTGATTGGTCTGATCCTCTCTCACTCCGCTCTCGTATTCTAGTTGCGGGCGGCGGTGGGGGTTCTGAGTGGACTGGCTCTCGAGGAGGTCACGGCGGTGGCCTATTAGGAGGTGAAGGCTATCCATCCTGCGGTGAAAATTGTCCAGACGCTATAACTGGAGGCGGATCCCAAATTGCAGGAGGAAAAGCTGATGAAGAATTGAAAGGCTTATTTGGTAAATCACCAATAAATTATAATTCTGCAGATATGGGTGGTATAGGAGGAAATGGATATTATAGTGGAGGATCGAATGAAGTACAAGGTGCTGGTGGTGGTGGAAGCTCTTTTATTTCAGGATATGAAGGATGCATTGCATTGAATAGCTCGTTAAATGAAAATCCAAATCCAACAGGCTCTTCAATTCATTATTCTGGAATAAAGTTCTTCAATCCCACAATGATACAAGGGAATAATGAGATGCCTCTGTTCTTCAAGTCAGGATCTACGAATCGTGGCATAGGAAATAAGAATAGAGGTGCAATAAGAATTACAATTATCAGTGGAAAAAAATGCACAGAAAATTTAAAGTGCCAAAGTATTCTTTCATTCCTTTTGATTGCCTTGTCTAATGCCATTGATAGTTGATTTGGAATAAAAACACATATCCCCGAATCTAATCTTTTTGAACAAGTTTTATAAAAATTAGAATGAATATGGGAGATTCAATAGCAGGATGAATTGGCAATAATTCTTAGCCAAGAAATTTAAAGATAATGACATGAAAAACTGATGAAAATAAAATAACCTGAAGCAGATTTTGGAGAATTCAACTTCAAAATGCATATATACCTTTCGAAAACTCATCATATATATTACATATGTTATTTGTATATTAATTACCATTCAAGATATAATGGGTCATTGTAAATTTTATTGTGGCTGAGGGGATAATAAATTTTGTAAGAAAATTGTAAACAACTCAAAAATTGAGGAACATGACGTTAGTCTCATTCAAATGAGTTCTCCTCTTTCTGAAGCCGACAACATCATATATAAGGTACTTCAATGCTTGATGAAAGAAGGATCAATGATCTACTCCTATCTCACAAGAAAGGAAATTGTACTTATGCTTCAGCAAGTCATAACAATCTTCAGATCAGAACCTATTCTACTGAAAATACCATCAAACATTCATGTAGTAGGTGACATCCACGGAAATATTATGGACCTCATCAGGATTTTTCAAAAGGTTGGCTATCCTCCACAACAGAAATACTTATTCCTTGGCGACTATGTAGATAGAGGTAACAATTCTATCGAAATACTTTTAATGCTCTTTGCTCTCAAAATCAAATACCCAGAACATATATATTTGATTAGAGGCAACCACGAAAATGAACACATGTCAGAGTACTATGGTTTCCGTGATGAAATCGAATCTAAGTATAACTATACGCTCTTTTATGAATTTCATCGTGTTTTTCGCCAATTACCACTTGCATGCTTAATTTCCAATAAGATTTTTTGTGTCCATGGAGGCCTAAGTCCACTTTTCACATCTTTTGAAGATTTTCAAGCACTAGAGAAACCAGGAGAGATTAAAGATCCATCAATTTTCCTTGATTTCATTTGGAGCGATCCTAAAGATCAACCAGAGGATTTCAAACCAAGTCTTAGAAAATGCGGACAGTTTTTCGGTCAAAAAGCTTTGGAAGACTTTTGCCAAAAGACTAGTGTCGAATTAGTTCTAAGAGCTCATGAACTATGCCAACATGGCTATGACTTTCCATATGCAAATTCAGACTCATGCATAACTGTTTTTAGTTCATCCAATTATTGCGATAGACAGAACAAAGCAGCAATTGTTAATGTCAGCAAAAAACTTGAAGTGACAATCACACAATTTGATCCATTGAAGAGTGAACCAAATCAGGTTCCTATCATTTTCCCAGAGTGGCTTGACTATCTCATGGTTTCAGATATCAAAAGCAACAAAGCTGAAGATAAATTCAACGATAGTGAACCAAGCTCTGAACTGGATGAGAAGTTTACAAAGGAAACTGGTGCTACGCTTGAAATCAGTAGCGCAATCAGTGATGCAAACACATTATGCTATTAATTACTTTTCGTTGTATATTATCCTAAATCTTTTGTTATAGATTACAAATATTACTGTATTAACTCGATAATGTAAGCCAAAATCATGATTTTGAGGAGACCGTTTACATTTTGCAGAATATGAATTCCTCTGAATTTGAATATTCTGAAACAGGATCTTATGTTTCAAGACACTCAAAGAGCGGCGGATCTGCAAAATATAGTGCTGTTACTAATCAGACACTTCCTGAATTAACATTTTTCGATTTAATGCATAATAAAATGAAAAAAGCCGATTTTTTCAATAAATGGAATCTTAAAACAAAATTACGTCGTCAAAAACAACAAGCGTATCAATCATGTCTCGTGAATCCAGATTTTGATAAGGAATCAAGAGCTAATTCTCTTTTCGAAGCAGCGGACAGACTTACAACAATGAATGCATTCAGAAAATTAAAGAATGAACGTGATATTGCTGCCGAATCTCTTTGTTTCTGCGCATCTATGAAACACAGAATTTTATGTAAGTCATTTGGAACTTGGGAGACAAAATATTATAATTCCCTCCTCAGAAGAACAACTATAGAACAAACGAAAATAAATTCATCATCTACAGAAAGAGCTTCAGATATTTTCCGCCAATTGCACGAACAAATTTCAAAACATGCTGAACTTTCATTAATTGCAGAACAAAATCAAAAGGAAATTTCAGATGTTAACGCCCTCATATTTGATACTAAGACAAAACTTAAAAATACCCAAAATCAAATTCTCGAAGCAGCAAATCAAAATAAACGCGTAAAAGATATGAAACGATCTGTTGAAATTGGCTACAAGGATCAAATTGCAAAGCTAAAAATGCAAATCCTTCATTCAGAAGACCAAATTCAACAACAATTATCAACAGCTAAAGAAGTTTTACAGCAAAAACACCAAGAAGCAGAACTTACAAACGAATCAATCATAGATTCGAAAGATAAAATGATGCAGAGGCTTTCTTCCATACAAGAACGCCTTAATAAAACTCAATTTGTTGCTATGAATCTCAGAGATGAGATTTTATCACAACAAAACATCGAATCAGAACTTACAGAAGAAGTACAATCACTTCAATCAGAAATTGATCAATTAACTTACGAATGCAATACAATCGAACAATCAACAACAAATTATGAACAAAATACAGATTCTAGTATCCAAGATCTTATAGCTCTCTATAATAAGGCTCAGGAAACCCAAAAAAATTGTGATGCCAAAATTAAAGAAAACAGAGAAATTCTTCAGAGACAGAACACGGAAATCGAAAGGCTGAACCAGGCATTAGCGCTTATTCAGCACCATAGGAAGACTACAGAGCTTGCTTTCACTGAAGAAGAAGGCGAAGAGGAGGAAGAAGCTTACCAGCCTCAAATGTAAGATATTTTTTGTTGATTTATTAAATATTTTGTTTAATTTCTAGATAGTTATATTTCAAATCAAACTTCAATTCAATATTGAATTTTATTTTTTAAATTATTTCATATCATTAAGAATCTATGATACCAATAATGATTTGACAATATGAAAATCATAAGAATTAAAGATAAAAGAGATTTATTTACAAATAATTATTTTCTTTGCATAAGAGTAACAGCTTTCCTGAGAATAGCTTTATCAGGCTTAAAAGTAATCTGGAGTAAGGCTGGATCTGGAACATTATATGAAGCTTGAACTAATTTTCGAGCTTTTGAATTAATTTCGATAGATCGAATAATATAAAAAAGAAGGAACAATAACATGAATAAGGGAGTGGCAAATATTGCTTCTCCAACGAAAAATGAAGCCAAAAATGTAACAATTGCCAAAATCCAAGAAGAATGATAGAATAATTTTGTTATACCACTTATATTATAATTTCCATTGCCTCTTGTTTGAGGAACGTGAATTGGAGTGATTGATCTTTCATTCGTAACAAGTGGAGACATAATTCTTTCTTTAGAAGTAGATAACGTTGTTTTAGGCTGCGTAAATATCAGTGGTGATTGTGCTCGAGATGAATCGGCAGACATTATAGCTGAATTTGAACCTGTAGATTCTTCATTTAGCATTGTTGGAACAAATCTATCAGCAATACTTGGTGACTTGAGAATTGGGGATGAAAGTGGAACTAACGTTGGAGAGCCGATACTTGGTGAAAAATGAATATCTTTTTGGTAAGGGGACTTGGAATTAACAATAACGTCTGCAATTATATCTTTTGGTACTGATGGCAAATAATTTCTTTTCATTGAGTCTAATGCTGATTGATGTATATCAATTTTTTCAGGTGGAGAATAATTTTCGATATAATTTCCTTTAGAAAGGAGTGGCCGTTCAAGAGGTGTTTCAAGATTTGATCTTTGACTTTCTAATATTCTAATAATATCCGTTTTTGTTGATCTATGAGGAATGAATATAGATAGAGCATCAGCTTCAGCTTTAAGTTGACGCATCGTATTTCTTTCTAAGTTATCCCAATCGAATTGCATTCCAAGAAATTTTAAACAGAAACGGAACCTTCTTATTTTTGTTAGACCCAAGATAATTATTAAACATATAATCTTATAATTAAAGTCCATAATATTGTCTGTTTCTACCAACACATTGAAAAGTGTTATTTTTTTCAAAAAACATCTAGAAGAAATAAACACCCAGTTAAATGGGGTTACATACACCATTCAAATAGGGAAGAATTATGCAGTAGTAGGTGTACCTGGTCAAACTACGTGCAATGCTATTGATAAAAGCACCTTTACCTCCAAAGAGATTCAACTTGAAACAACAGTTAATATTAACTCTCAGGAATATGATGTTCTTGAGATTGCTCCATATGCCTTCTATCAATATAAATCATTTCAGAGTATCATATTTCCTCAAAAATTAATTAAAATTGGTGAACATTCATTTGATCAAGGGCGTCATAACATGACCGAAATTTCTTTCCCTGACTCTGTGACATATCTTGGGAACCATTGTTTTGCTGTAGCAAAAATAAAAGTTTTTAACATCGGAAAGAACGTGAATTATATTGGAATTTGCATTATTGGAGCTGATGATGTTCTTGAAAAAATCATTGTTGATAAAAACAATCCTTATTTCGCACATGATGGCCTTTATAACCTATATTCTAAAAATTTCACAGTTCTTTATCAAGTAAATGCTATTCAAGAGCATTATGTCACACTCCAAACAGTGAAGTATCTGAAGACACAATCGATTACTGATATTCCAATTAAATCCGTCACAATCACACAAGATTGCTACTTTGAAACATATGCGATTTCTTATTGCGGGCAGTTAGTAAATATTACATTTTATGGGAAAGTTCTAAGTCAAACATCAGCTGTAGGAGGACTTTCCAGTCTTTCCCTTATTAGGTATTATTCCAGCAATCCTGTTTATAAAGCAGTCTTAGATGAAGTTCCAATATCTAATATTGTAGTTTATTGCTGTAATAATTTCAACACAAATTTCTCTACTATTGTCCCAATTAAGTCCTTTGAATGTGTTAACCCAATGCTACAATCTTGCAAAGTAAATCCAATCAGAGCTCCATTTAATGTTAGTGTTTTTATAGCTATGCTATTAAATTAATAAAAATACCTCTAAATCAAGGATTAAAATAAAACCTAAGCTATTTGAATTTGAAAGTATAGCCTGTATCATCTAAGAAGTATATAATTCTACTCTAGGCGCTATAAACAAACTTTTAATTTATCAAAAAGAACAAATTGTGAATAACGTGGTCGATAATTGTAGTAAATTCTTCAATAAAAATATCACAGCATCATTTAATTATCATATTTTACTTTCTGTCATTTTAAACTAAAAATACATAATTTATTAAAGATCTACTGATACTTTTTAAGATCATATATTACAGAAGGGCCTTGGTTTGGCCAAATAATATCATTGCTAAATTTATCTTCTTTTATATGCTCGGCCAATTACTAATAAATGATGCATGTATTCATATGCTGGAGATGATATTCTTTCCTTTGGGCACTTGGTTAATTCTCTATTGAAGTTTCGGGTATTCATGAATATATCATATGGATATTTCACATCAACCAGGATAAAGTTTGATTCTGTTTGGAAATATCCATTCAAGTTATAATGTCCGCAATATTCAACAACATCAATACGAGATAAAAGGAAACTATCGCTAACAGTTCTAACTGTTGGAGGTAAAACCAAATTTGTAAGATTAACTTCTCCCAATATCCTTCCCAATATTGTTGTTGTTTTGGGAGGAAGTATCAATGTTTCTAGTGACCAACATCCGTAAAACATTTCTGTTTCAATTAGTGTTGCTGGCGATTGTGATAGATTAATTACTTTAAGAACAGGACATTTATGGAATGATCGTGATCCAAATGATTTAATAGATCTTGGACAATTAAATTCTGTGATGTTTGTCCCAGCAAAACATCCAACATGAGAAAATGATGTTACCGATGGTAAAAATGTTTTGTTACAATCTTGTGGATATTTTACCAACATTGTAATATCTTTTGAGTAGAGAATTCCATCAACAACAGTGAAATATGGATTGTCAGGGTTGCAGTTGATTTCTGTTAAGAAATAACATCCACAAAGACCTCCTGGATCTATCTTTGTCACACTTGGAGGCAATGTAAGGCTTTTCAATTTAGAATAGGCGAATATAAAGTGTGGTATAACTTCAAGACATGATGGCAATTCAATTAATTCTAAATCAGAAGACCTAAAATGATAATTCCCAGTAAATCTTGTAATTTTTGTTTGCGATAGATTTGCATATTTGATGCTTGATGTGCCAAATGCAGACTCCAGTATTGTGGTGACATTTGGACCTAAAACTATCTTTTGGATTTGACATCTATAAAATGCTTTGTAACCGATCAATTCTAGTGAGTCAGGTAGTGTTATACTTCTAATATTGCAAAAATAGAATGAGTAATTTGAAACAACGGTTACTCTTTTATTTTCAATTTTATCAATAACAAGATCTCCTGAATATGATTCCGGAATTGATGCATTTGTCCCATTACCGATTGTAACTGTATCGTTAATCACAATGTATGTTATTGGAGGATAATCATTCGTTGAGATTTCTTTTTCCGATCATCAAACTGTCTTTTTTTGACAGTTTACATTTTCAAAAAATTGAATAGCTTTTTAATTTTGGAATAGTTTTTAGGCATCTATGAGACTCAAAAAATAAATCTGTACAGGTTCTCAATTGGATTTGAATTGATGATCTGAAAAAGAGGTAGGGCAACGATAGAAAATTTTTGGAAAAAAAGTTCGGAGATCTTAAACGTATCATATTCCCTGCATGGTTTGGTATCTTCCGCCATGCGTTGTGCCAAACATATTGACACTTTCCAATAATTAATTTATGGTATGAGTCACAGAGTTAGATTATAAAAAGAAAGTAAATAATTGCAATTAGAAATCATATATGTCGGAAATCAAATGTTGATGAGCAGAAACCTTTTACTCATCATAAAAGAGATAAATCACTAAAGATTTGTATACATTAAAATTTGATATTTGGTGCTCGAAAACTGTCTGATGGGACTCCTCCAAAATGAACCAATCTATCGCTGAGGACCAAATTAGATGATGTGGATGGTGTATTCTCTAATTCTAACTTAGGAAGAATGGGAACAAAACGAATGACGACAACAACATGTCAAACATAGATTAAATATCTATGAATCAATAAAGTATACGTGCAGTGAAGGTGATAACGATCACTTGAGGCTTATAACTCTTTGACTAAATTATGCAATAATTAAATATAATCATTTTTATATTTTTATACTGATAGTAATTAATATACTATCCTGCTTAATAAATGGTATGATCAAATTTGTTTGAAAATTTAATTATGTATATGAAACTATGTCTTCTATATAAAAATCAAAATTTTCGGACGAACGTAGATTGAACCTTTATGAAAATCTATCATTTTTGTTAATTGAGTTAATATGAATCTTTACATATGTATATATAGCATTGATAGCTTATATAATCATGGTTTATTCCATATTAACATATTTTTTCAGTTAAATTTGTTAATAATATCATGTAACAAATTAATTCAAGATTAGAATGTCTACAAAATGCTAACAAATAAGAACAAAATACGATTTCTCGACTTAAATTTTAATATGGAGTAGTTTTTCGTTTAAATCTAATTAAAAATGAATAAAAACTTATCTTGTACTATTTTCATTCAAAGATTTTAATAATGTAAATCATGCATTTTCATAATTCAGTACAGTTCTTTTTAGAATTAAAGTTGATGAGGATGATATTTGTGATTTAAAATAATTTGTTAATGTTCACCTTTTATTCATCACCTTGTGGTATGCCCTAAAGCAATAGCATTATCAATTCTGCTGAATTGATCAACTCAAAATTCCAAAAAAAATTCAAAATTTCAAAAATGAAATTAAACAATTTGAATTTTCACATGAAAAAATCAATTTCGAAAAAAATTTGGAAAATCAAAGTATTTGATAATTAGTCAAATAATCAATTTACATCGTTTTTACTCATAAAAAACAACTAATTTTTGATTTTGATATCATATTTGATAAATACTCATTCCAGAGTTGACGTAATGTATTAATTATTGTTAGAGATATTGCTTTCGCAACAAAATTCTTATTTCATGAAAGAAAAAAAAAAATGATTTTATTCCAACAAAAACAAGTAAACAGATGAATGGAAACGTACTATATTTTCATAAATGTAGTAATCAGTGTGTCAGCTTTTGTTTATCATGTTCGAGTCAAAATGTATTAACTTGTAATAAGAAATATTCGAAGATTATATGAAGTATTGAGCATTCTTTGTAGAAATATTTGTAATTCATTACTAACATATATAATAAAGTTGTTTTTTTTTTTCCTTATTGCAATAATTTTGTCTGATTTTAATAACTTTTCATGTATACGAGTTGTGTGAATATGCATCATAATATGCGTAAATATACTTATTTGCGACAAATAATGTGGTTGCATAATGGAGGTGCTAAATTTTGATTTTTAATATGGGGCTTTGGTATGTATAATCATGTTCTTATCTCAACGTAGGAGTATTGGTGCAATATGATTAAAATTTACGAGGTTGATCTTAAATTGAATAATTCTGGAGTATAAATCACAATGCAGCTAATTCTATGTTAAAGATAGATACAGATTGTAGTAATCAATTAGGGAGTACAAATTCATTCTTTCATTTCTGTCGTATTGAGCAGAAAGGAAGAGATCATAACCCTAGGAAAAAAAGCCCAAATTTGTCACTTTTCATAGTACGTTAAACTCAATTCGCTCGGCGAATGCCGAGCACACGTACTCATCATTCAACATAATATTCTCATTCTTTGGTTATTATAGTGCCAGACAACACAAGATTTCAAAGAATTACTTGAGTTTTCAATTAATCTTAATCCGATTTTAGATTTATCGAGAACTCCATCATCACAATCACATACTTCAGTGCGGTAACTACAATTATCCATATACAGAAGGAAGTTCTTTTCGAACAACTCATTTGGAGTCTGTTTTGGAAAGAACTTCTTTCTGTCCGACTTAATTTCATAGTTCCTGATCAACCAAAAGACAGAAACCACACACTATCTACTTAGGAAAGGAGTTCTTTCTAAATCTTCCTTAAATTGAGATTTTACGAGAGATAACCCTTCTATTGCACTTAAAAATGAACATTTTGATATCTTTAGTATCACACATGGTCATATATAGTATTTCATCTACATGAATACATTCATCTTTCGAAGTCTCTCATTAAATGGGAGGCTTCGAAAGATGAATCGTTTTATTCATACAACTTTAAATCTCGAACACATTTAGAGAGTGAGTATATCATTTTATTCTTGTTTTGAGTTTATTCTGATTCAAAATTGCAGTGAAAACAGAAGTTCACACATCATATCTGAATGTGAGCTCATCTATACTTATACGATCTCAATACCTCCACTCTAAGCATAAGAGGTGAAGTTATATAAAAATTATCAGATGCGTTGAAGTCTCAAAAGTATTGCCTGAATGCTTGTTTCATATTTGTCCAAGTAGTTTCAATGAATAAATGTATTGTTTTTTATAATTTCGATTTATTTTTAGAAAATATTCAATATAAACCTTTATTGTGTTATTTACATCTCATAAATTCTCTGTCTAAATCATATAAAAGCGCGTTTTACCCCTATGAATCAAGAAATTCATTCAATATTCATGGTATATTTATTAAATTTATACGATTTACTAATAATCAATATTATATCCTCATAAATAGCAATATATTTTGGTAATCTATGATAATCATATACAATATTTGAAATCAAATTTTCATTAGTTTAGGTTCCTTGTTAATAGTAAATCATTATATTTATTACTAATAATAAAATCTATGTGTCGTATTGAAATTCAATAAAATTACTTATTCGGTCCAAAAAAACAAATTAGATAAAATTTTTCTTTTTTTTATGTAATTTTTGTTTTTCATTTTTCTCAAGATCCTAAGTTATGTTATAACTTTTGACATCATATCCTATCATGCTAGGCTATATATTATAGCATATCCAAAAGGCAAGGAAATCTATCAGAGAAGCCTTTTTGACCTATCGTTGCCCTACCTCTTCTGAAAAATTTTCGGATGATAATTTTTGTAATTTCCGATTAAAAAATCAACATGTACGCAAAATAGCTTCATTTTTAAATTTCAGAGTGTAATTCAAATAAAGCCTTGTTCGTGTGAATAAAGCAATTCAAAATTATACACACAAATTTATCGAAGTTCAAATTATTTTCATGGAAATAAAAGTGACATCTTTACAAAATTTAAATTAGTATCAATATTAGTGATGTTCTATATACAGTTGATAACACAAATAGTTATGCTATTGTAGGAATACGAGGACAAAGCAAATGCAATGCTATTGACCTAACAACATTTCAGAAAAAAGAATTAATTCTTGAATCAAATGTTAAAATCAATGGTATTAACTATGAGGTTCGTGAAATTGCAGCATATGCATTCTTCCAGTACAAATCATTTCAAAAATTATTTTCCCAGAAAAACTTATTAAAATTAATGCATATGCTTTTGATCAAGGATTGCATAACATGACAGAATTATCGTTTCCTGATTCCTTGAGATATATAGGCAATTATTGCTTTGCTGTTTCTAGTTGCAAATTTTTGAAAATAGGAAGAAATGTTGAGTTCATAGGACATTGCATAGTTGGAGCTAATGAAGTCATTGAAAAAATAGTAGTTGATAGAAAAAATCTTAATTTTGCTCATGACGATCTTTATAACTTATATTCCAAGAATTATTCTGTTCTATATCAGGTAAATGCTGCTACTGAGCATTATACGACTCCACAAACAGTTAAACTTATTAAAGCGCAGGCTTTTAACAGTATTCCAATAAAAACAGTAATAATTACTCAGAATTGCGTATTTGAGGATAAGGCATTTTTCACCCTCACTAATCTAGAGAATGTGACATTTTTTGGGAATATTCAGCCTCTCGATGTTGTGTTTTTTAACTGTCCTTCACTCAAATCTATCAAATATTATTCGGATGAACCTGTTTTTACTGACATATTTTATACTAAGGAAAAAGAAAATATATATAAGTGTTTCTTGTTGCTTCGATTACAATGGTAATTTTTCAGGAATTGTTCCGATTCAAGAATTTGCGTGCATAAATCCTATAATAAAATCATGCATAGTTAATCATTATCATCGCCTCGATTACATTTATGTATTTATACCCATTTTAATTGAATAAAAAAAGTTTTTTTTTAATTTTGATTTTTTAAAGTTTCACTAACATGAGAGGAAAACTAGGTTCAACTTTGACATGAAAACATAAGAGATTGAATAAGATATCTCTATTACTTCTATATTTGTTCTTCCAAGAAGAGAGATTGCTATTTCTTCTGCTATGCAGCAAAATTCACTCCTAATCATTCATTTTCTGGGTGTGATTTTGTATATTTTGTTATAATCAATTTCCATCATTTTAAGAGAGAGATTTTTCGATTGATCAGTTCCTCCATGCCACATAAAGCTGAGTAAATGATAATTTCTAATATCATCGTATACATTTGCATCATCAGGACAATTTCTCAGTAGATGGAAGAAAACAAGAGCAAAAACTAATGACTTCTTTGTGCGTGCTGATTCAGCAATTGAAATTAGAGCTGATGTATCCGTTGCAGAATCGAAGATTTTTTTCCTATCATCTCCAAATCCACCTTGAGTTAACAAATTTTTCAAATGAAACCTAACTTTCTTCATTTCATCGTTGGTTGAACGTATTAGATAATAAAAAGCAATAGTAGCAAAAATTTTATGAAGTTCAGTAACTTCTTTATCGAGTTTATATAAATCTTCAAACATTCTACAGTCATAATAATCTTCAATAGGGTAAGGGCAGTTATCAACAAAATTGCAATATTTTTCAAATAGATCATTATTTTTATGGAAGAGTCTCTCCCTAAATACATATAAGGAATCTAGATTTTTTTCGTTCTTTTTTGTCAAATTAAGGTTAGTCAGATCGGAGAAAATTTGGTTGCCTTTTGATTCTTCATCATTTAAAATTTTGACAGCCAATTCATTTATTTCATTTAGTTTGTTTTGGATTTCTTGAAGTGTAGAATCATCGACTTTATTCCTTAGTTTCTCTACAATTTTACTATTAAATGTAGGCACATTTTTGTAACAATCGAATAATTTGCTAATGCAATATCTGCTAATTTTGATCGAGAAATCCAAATGAGGTTTTAGAATATTTATCCATGAAAAATTATTTTTTTTGTCAGTTGGGTGTTTAACATAGATTCCACTAGTATTAACCTGATATGTTCTATAAGCATTTTTATAGATTAGGGGATACCTGATTGAATAGATATCCGGCGCGAGCTTATCTGCTTGAAATTGTCTTTTTCCTTCACCATCAAATGTATATTCACTTTGCTTGCTCATAGAATTGTCATCTAGTATAATTTTTGCAATAATAATGCTTAATCGATCATCCTGATGGACAATTTTTTTGAAAAAGTTGCATAAACGTACTTCATTTGAATAAACATCTGATAAGAATTCTTCCATTGGTTTTTTTGCAAAAAAATATTGAATTTGATCAACTAAAAATTTCTTATTGCCAAAGTATTGATAATCTGTATAACAGTTTTCTATAAATTTCAAAAGACTTTTTGGTCTATTGTTGTTGCTATTTGTACATTCTATAATCTGTTTTACAATTTGGTTAGCATTTTCAATATCTTTTTGATCATAATGATTTTTCTTCGTATAAACAATGTTTAAGATGCTTTTATGTTCCTCGGGATCATACTGGTGGAAAAACCTAGAAATCTTCTGCCAACTAAGATCTTTGACTTTAATTTGATGCGTATGCTTCTCTAATAAATTTTGATATATTGTCTGTATTTTGTCTATTGATTCAGTTTGGGTATTATGAATAATACCTGAAAAATTGTTATGTAGCATGCCAAGTAATTCTGTAATTTCTTTTTCACTTGCTGGATTAATTACGCCATTTTGTAATATCTGATTTATAATACTAAAAGCATTTTGAATAATATTTATACCATCCTGATTATAGTCATTAGAAGTTTGAAGTGATAAATCTTGCTCTTCTACTTTTGCACCAATTGAAATGAGAAATTCTGAAATCTCTCTGTTTCCATTTTCTTTTGCAAAATAAAGAGCAGAATGTCCATTTTTATCTTTTGCATTGATATCAGCTCCAATATTAATCAAATATTCGCAAAGAGATGGCAAATAAAATTTCGGTGAACAAACGAAGCAATTGTTGATATCTTTTGATGTTTCTAAATAAATAAAAAATGCTTGAAGGTTATAGAATTTCCAACAATCTTCTAAATTAATGTTTAAACCATGCTTACTAATCAAATCTTTGACCAAAATTATGTTATGTGTTGCAATTGCACAAGTCATACAATACGGGTCTGGTTTAAACATTTTCAAACATTCATTAATGATGTCTTGATTTCTTCCCAAAAATGAAAATTGAAGGCAATATTCAGTGATTTCGGAATTACATTTTGTTCTTAATAAATTGAAGCATTCAATTGCTCCATGATAACAACAATATTCAAGTAATGAATATCCATCTTCTGAAAATGGGTATAAATCGCATATAAGCCGCTGATTCGGATCAAAATCTGCATTTTCGATGAATGAAACAAATGAATTCTTATCATCATCCATAATTGCTCTATAAATTGTGTTTTCGTTGTGAATGTCCAATGAATAATTTTCTTTTTCAAAAAATTTGAAGTATTTTTTATTATCCGGGTTTAGAACAGCTCCATATTCTTTATTCAGAAGGTAATCAAAAATCGGAAGAATGTATTTGGCCTTTGGTTGATAACATTTCTGAAAGATCTTTTGAAAGATAGTCCAATATGATCTGAAATAACGATTATTGAAGGGTAATATTGACGATATCATTTCTAAAACTTGGGATGGCAATAGATTTTTTGAATTTATTAAGTTATCTTCAATATCTTGATAAATTTTATCGATTTCTTCTGTATTGTTCGTTTTGAGTGTAAACAATGCATCTATAAAATTTATGTAAGATTTATTTTGCATTAAAAACTTATTGAAATTGTAAATACTCATAATATATGAAAAGCAGAAAACTTTATATAAAACGATTATTTTTGATTCAAATATATTTCTAAAAAAATTATACATCGACTTACAAATTGGCATTTTCATCTCCTCAATAGTATTTCAAAACTTATATTTAGGAGCCAGATACGAAGTTTATACATTTGAAATGTAGAAGAAACTAAAAATATCGGATGTGACTCTTTGTATAGAAATAAAATTACAATTCTTTATTCTGACAAGATGACATAAGAGATTGGAGCAAATATCTCTTTTGCTCGACATCTTCGACTGTGAATGATGGTCCTTCTGGAGGGATATTTTCTAATTTAGTCTTTATCCATTCTTTAAGGAAACTCGTTGTTTGTTTGATTTCCTGTCTGATTTCGCAGTTCTTTGATGCTTTGTCTGCTTCTTTGATTGTACTTCTGAGGAGAGTGATTGCTTCTTTAAGACTCTCTCTTATCTGGAATCTCTTCTTGATTGGTTGTGCAAGTTCATTAAGTTTAGTTCTGTATTCATTGTATTCTGTTTCTGTTGCATTTGCAACTGATTTAGCCCAGTTTTCACAGACTTTGAAAACTCTTTCTAATGCGTCTTTTTCATCTTGTCGCATGCATTTAAGATAGTCTCCGGCTAATCCGTTCTTTACATCATACAAAAGTGATTCGAAATCGTTTTTCGCCTTTGCAATTATTCGATTCTTCTTTGTATATGATGTTAATGCAGCAATGAACGCTTTGTTCATATCATTAGCATAATCTGAGTCATCAAATGGAGTATCGACCAATTTAAGAGTCAATGTGTTAATATAAGCATTTCCATTTGTGATTTTCGCAACTTTGCTCTCGGCAATCACAAGAATACCATTATCATCGAACTTAAATTTGATCAATGCCTTCATTTGCCTTGAAACAGTGTCATCTATAATTATATCCCATGTTGCTAAGACTTTTGATGCTCCTAAAGGTATAGGTGATGCATATATTAATGAGAACTTGTTGACTACATCGAATTTGGCCGATTTCACCTTTGACATCAAAATTCCTTTTTTGAATAACGTAATGTTCTTATCAGGAAGGGAAAGAATGACATCATAAGGGAGTTTCTTGTGGAATACGACTGGTTGTGAGTGGAAAATCTTTGTTTGAAGACCTGCAGCGTAAGCAGCACCTGTAACAAGAGCTTCGTCGCTATTTAAGGTGCGGGAAGTGTTTCCTATCTTCTTCTCTACATGTTCAATGAAAGCAGGAATTCTTGTGGCTCCACCGAGTAATTCGATCGAATCGTATTCGAGTTTGACCTGATCAATGAATTTATCGATTTTCTCTAGTATTGGTTGAACTGCTTCGTTCATTTCGGACCTTGTAAATATGATTCTTTCGCTTGTTGCGTCTGATGAAACATTTGCTTCGTCAGAAAGCGTAAGAAGGTGCTTAACTTTCTGTGCTGTAGTTAGTAATTGGTAAGAATCGTTTTCTATGTGGTATTTTTGCTTTATTGCCTTTGCAATGGCTACATCAAAATCAATTCCTCCGATTTCTTCATTCCAGTAGTATTCTAGGTCATCGACAACAGTCTTTGTACCTGATTGTGTGAATTTCATGCCTGAAAATGATAGTTTTCCGGCTCCAAAATCGAGAAATCCAACAGTTTTCGGAGTATTTCGGAAAGAACTTGTTTTTTCGACAGAATAAAATGTTGCAAAGGATACCTTTTCATCATATATTTGTAATACGTTCAATCCAAGTAATTTCGCTGCTGCTAAATACTGAGTTCTTTGACTATCTGAAAAATATGATGGAATAGTGATGACGATATCGTTAATTTTAGGTATATTGAGTTGCTCTTGTGCAAATATAAGCGCTTCTTCGATCATCATGGCTAAAGAAATGTGAGTTTCTAATCCATTTACGCGATTATTTATGAATTGGAAGTCATACCATCTATTTTTAAGTAGTGTATCGAGTTTTTCGTCGCAAATACGTCCTATTGTTTGCGGAAAGTTTCGAATTACGGATGAAGAATTTCTTTCAAGCTGCGGAATTGCGTAAACACCAATTTTACGATCTACACTTTCTGAATATTCAGCAGATAGTGGTAAATTTGATTGAAGTGATATGATACTTGGTGTTAATCTTTTGCTAAATTGATTCATGATAATTTCAACATGTTTTCCTTGCGAAATTGCAGCAATAGCCATATGCTCTGATCCAATGTCAATTGCTACAATAGTAGATGAAACAAATAAACTGAATAAAAACAACATTTCTTATTTTTGAATTTTTTCACTTTTTTTATCTGGTCAAAAGAGATTTTAGCTACAAGAGATTATTTAATTGCGTTTGCTAGTTAATATACATATTGTCTTACATATAGGCTAGCATGCTACAAGAAAAGAATGAGAAATTAATAAAAACACACAAATATTTTATACAAAATAACTAAAAAAACATACATAATAAAATTACATCATATAAAATCGTCCCATTCGCTTAACTGGTCTTCATCATCCGTTTCAAAAGTGCCAATTGGTAATAAAAGAGAATTTGAGTCTGTTTGAATTCTCCGAGGCCTCCCGCGACGTGGAGGAGCTCCAATCATCACACTCTGAGAGCGTTTAACCAATCTTTTCTTGACAGAAGATGGAGATTTCAGTGATGATCGCGTAAGTGGAGCTAATGTTGCAATAGTCATCTTTGTTTCAAGTTCTTCTGTCTGTGATTCTGTTAAGAGGTCTCCCGGTTTGTCCCATGGTCTTGGTTCCCAAAATCTGGGAACAATATGAGGTTCTCGCTCTTGGTCGTATCTTTCTGTTTTTAAATGCTCTTCTTCCGTCATGACAACGTTGAATCCTTTGTATATTAAATCAATTGACTGCGCTGGGTGTTGATATGCGTCATCAAAGCCGTATATGATTCTATTTTCAAGAATTTCGAGTTTTCTGTGATGATCGACCATATCTAGTTCATTCCAATCAGCTAAAGTCTCAGGTTCTTCTTCACTATCGTCAGAATATTTCGTTTCGTTCTTAAAAGGTTGTTTAGAACGCGATGTTTCCCAGTCAGGCGTTAAAACTCTCTTTGGCGGCATGAATTTACTTGGTGTAGTTGGTCGAGTGATAAATCGAGGCGAAATACTGACTCTTTGACGGGAACTTCGTGGAATTTTAAGCTGGATTGCTTCTGTTTCTTCTTCCTCTTCTTCTTGGTAAGTATAAACTACCTTTTTCGGTAGTCGAGGAGGAATTCGAATTCGAATTGTCGTATTATTCGGATTTGAGAAGATATTTTGTTGAGTGTTTGTATTGAATTTGCCTTGTAGAATATATTGCTGAAGTAGAAGCTGAAATGAAGGAGGAAGTTGATCAGACTTCGGTTTCTGGGCCGAATTTTCATTAGAATTGCCCGGATCTGGACCCTCCTTCACTAAAGCATCCCCAGCTGCCGTGGAAAGGGGAGGCGTCCCCAATTCCCCAGAGCTGCTTTTGCTAAGGGTCATAGAAATGAAGCAATCAGCAAAAGGTGACATAAAAGTGGCATTTTTGATTGCACTAGAATCAAAACATCCAATTATCTGTTCAATCAATATTAAATACATCATACTTCTCTCCGATGCTAACAAAGAGCTTATAATTTTGTTCCTTCTTGATAATTTTGATATCTTTGAGCATAATTTAAGGAATGTGATGATGAAACCAAGTTATTTACTATTACTATAGTCAAACATTCTTTATGACTATCATTTCTTATCTAAGAAATTGCTTTTTATATTGGAAACGAGACAAAATTGTGTCGCATAAAATTGACATCTCACTAATATATAGATAATTGCTTACTTATCTTCATATAAAACGATACCATAAATAATCGTGATTCAATTCATTGAAAAATTGTTTCAGATCGCTTTTGTAATGTTAATATCAAAATATAGCCATATGAATTTCAAGCAATATTGATGCAAATGAAATTTCAAAAATTGCCACAATATGACTTCGAATTTGGATTCTGAACAAAGAGAGATAATTCAGAACCTCAAAAGTAAATTACATGTTATCATAAGGAAATTCAGGGACGTTTACATCCATAAAGAAAAGCTAATTCCTTTGTTTACAGGATTAAAATTGCTTTATCAAGCATTAAGTGACGAAAATATAGAGAAGCATCAGAAAGAATTTCCCGCAATAAATAAATCTACATTTCGAGAACTAAACAACACTCTTATAAGCTTCGATAATTTCATCTCTCAATTATCAGCGTCAGAGTACTATACTTATCTTTCAACTAATCCACCAAACCGTGCATTGACTGATATCCTACAGTTCTGCCAAGATTTCAACGACATAGCTTCGAATTTTCCCTTAGAAACAAACGTTTTAATTGCTTTCGATCAGGTCTCATTCGAAAAGCTTAATGAAATTGATATAGAAGCTATTATCAATAGATTAAGCGAATTAGAACAAAAAAGCGTCGTAAGAAATTTAATTTCTTCGTTTCGACATTCGACAACCCAGCTACCTAAAATTGACAAAGACGATGATTTTATTACCTTTTCCGATATTGAGAGCTATCTTGTCAATTTCATTACTTTTCATCTTAATAATGACGATTTTGAAGTCCATAAGAAAATCGGATCAAATGAATACTGCGAAGTTTTCTGTGCATCTCAGAAATCTACAGGCAGAATTGTTGCGATGATGAAATTTTTATCGACAAAATTCAGTAATTTAACATTTTCTATTCTCAAATCAGAAATAAGAACACTCTCAATACTCAACCATCCATCACTTCTAGGGTTTTACGGCTTCGGAACTGATAATTATTACGCTATTTACAGAGAGCACATGCCAAACGGTAATTTGAGCGAACTACTACGGAATAATTCTAATCTTAATACAACACAGCTAACTATCATCATTCTAGGCATTTCTTTCGGTTTACAATATCTTCATAACAATCATATCATTCACCAGAACTTGAGTTCAGAAACAATTTACTTAGATTCAGATTTCTATCCGCATATAGCTGAAATTGGAAGCGGAGATAGCAATGATTCTATTTTTGTTTCAGAAAAAGACAATATCTCAGCTTACGGACGAATTCTGTGGGAAATAATTACATACGGATCAGGCCCAGAACACAGAGAGAAGTCCTCTTTGGTTATTCCAAGCATTGCTACGATAAAATTATGTAAAATAATTAGATCATGCCAGGAATCGAATCCCAATCTCAGGCCATCACTCAATGATATTCTTAAGAACAGAAAAGAGCTTTATTTGAACGATGTCGATGAAAATGTCGTTGAAGCTTATGTTTTCAGAATTACGAATCCAAATGAAGAGGAAAGACCGAGATCGACAAGGCCAAAGGAGTTTAACATGGTTAACTTGCTCGAATCAGCCTCCACTAACGACAAAGACACAATTAACTCTTTAATCACTTTAAACGAAATTGCAATTGACGACAGGCTTAAAGTATCACTTACAATTGAACAGAACCTCCGAAAGATTGTTGAAATCGTCACTAACTGCGAATCCGCTCAAAAAACCGCCCAAATTATTAATTTATTGGCCAGTTTATTCAAAGAGAAGGAAACAGCCAGGAAATTATGCGACTATGGCGTTGTACCTCCTCTCATGAACATTTTCATGAGATTTGGTAACACAACGACTCCATCAATTTTAGTTTGCCTCAAAGTCATAATAGAGACAACCGAAATCCAGTTTACAAAACGTAATTTCGAAAAACTGTCAGCTTTCTTGACTTTCGGAAACATACAAGTGAGAACTTCGATGATGGAGTTGTTATTAGACATTGTCGAGAGGAAAGCTTACGTTAACGAGGACGTAATATCCACATTTATTCCAAAGATCATAGAAAACATCATTCCGGAGATGCCGTACACGATGTTGAAAATTTCGATAAAATTATTGTCGAAATTGATGAACATTGAGAAGATCTTTGAAAGAATCTGCAGATTTGATGGTCCAACAGCTGTTCTACAGATCGCAACTGTCAAATATCCCGATATTGTCACAGAAAGTATAAATTTCTTGACAAAAGCTCTTCAAAAATGGATTGTTTCGCTTAAATTCATTTCAAAGTTCACGAGGAGCTTCGGAGATATCATTGCCGCCACGAGCGAAGAAGATATCATGAAAGTATTCCAGTTAATGGACGTTGTAATGAAACATGATGCAGCGTACTCCGAAATTGGCGACCAAACAAACTCTATTTCCGCTTTCGAAGACTTGATCACGTCGAGAAACATCGAAATCCGCGTGAAATCTCTTCAAATTGTTTTCCAATTTTTGAAGTCAAAAGTTTCATGTGACGAATTCGTTCCTTTGTTGCAGACTTTCTTCTTAATCATTTCGGAATTCAAAGATGAAACGACTTCTTACATTTCCATGCAATGCATTGTTTTAATTGGTGGAAATCCGAACGCTGATTTAAGTCTGATGAGTAATGCGAAAATTTTTGATTTTATTTCGTATTCTTTCTACTCAAACTCAATCAGATTGCAAGAGGCGTCATTGAGAATGATAGGATTGATGGCGTCAAGGAAGGAATGCATCAATTTCGTTGTCGCTTGTGGTTTCATTCCTCGAATTTTGAATTTTGTTCACAACGAAAATTTGTTGTTGAAAGAATTATCTTATATGTGTTTAGCTACATTTACTAAGTCATCGCAAGCAATTGACTTGATGGATGAGATTGTACAAGCTGTGTTAAGCGAATCAATCACTCCTCAAGTCATTCAGTTCGTTCTGATGATTGTTATGAACGCTGCAATTTGGCCGCAATGTTCTGTTTTGATTGTTGGAAAATTACCATTGATAATGAAGATGACTGATACAAGCAAATACAGCTATTTACTTGTAATTATCGAGATGCTTTTGAATAGCAGAGAAGCAAGAAATGTAATGGAACAAGAGTGCTGCCAAATGGTGCTGAGATTAGTCAAAGAAACAAGAACTTCTGAAATGGAATTGCAATCTGCAACAATTTTTGAATTGTTGACATTAGTTAAAACGGCAAAACCAGTGATAAAAGAAGAAGTTTCTTATTACGAAGAAGCTGTAAAGACAATGGATGTTTCTTCACCATTGAGACCAATTTATCTTAGAATATCTACGAGGAAACTTTGATTTTTATTAAATTTATTTATGTTTGTTTTTTATATCAATAAATAGTAAGTTTTATAGTTTTTATTAGATATGAATAACAATTCTTTAGAAGAATAAGAGGTATAAGTTTAAATGACATTGTTTCATTTTCAATTATACTTATTAAAGAATATTCTGTCCTGATAAATATCATACAATGACTAAATAAAACATCAGAATAACTATGCTTTCATCATTTTTACAAAAGACAGTTCAATCAATTAGCACTGTAATCGATGGTGTGAAATACACCGTTGAAACAGGGAAAAATTATGCTATTGTCGGAGTTCTAGGTCAAACCGTATGTAATGCTATAGATAAAAGCACTTTTTCATCCAATGCGATAAATTTGAAGACCAGTGTTACTATAAATAGCAAAACATATGATGTTCTTGAAATTGCTCCTTTTGCGTTCTTTCAATATAAATCATTCCAGAATATCATATTATCTCAAAAATTAATCAAAATTGGCCAAAATGCATTTGATCAAGGATTGCATTCAATTGACGTTCTAGTTATTCCTGATTCTGTTTTATATTTAGGAAACTATTGCTTTGCAACATCTAATATCAAAATTCTCAAATTAGGTAAAAATATTAATGAAATTGGGTTTTGTATTTGCGGTATGAACATATTCTTAGAAAAGATAATTGTTGATCCAGATAATCATTATTTTGCGCATGATGCTCTTTATAATCTTTATTCAAAATATTATTCAGTTCTTTATCAAGTAACTGCTATTCAAGAACATTACACAACTCCACAAACAGTTAAACTTATTAAAACAAAAGCATTTGATGGAATCCCAATTCTATCAATTGTTATTACACAAGATTGTGAATATGAGCCAAGTTCTTTCAATTATTTGAGCAGTCTCAAAAATGTAACATTTTTTGGGCGAATTAAATCTAAAAGTATAATGTTTCGAGGTGATCATTCACTCAGATTTATTCGATATTATTCAGACAAGCCTGTATATGATACTCTATTTGGAGAAATGGAAATTTCAAACATAGATGTTTATTGCTGCTATAACTATAACAAGAATTTTTCGGGAATTGTTCCGAAGCGAGAATTTACTTGTATAAACATTCCAATTAAGTCATGTTTAGCAAACATATATCATCATTCATTTAAATTTCTCTTTTTTATATTTATTATAGGATAAACGAAAATAATTTATGCTGTTTTTATATTTGCTAAGTTAACCTCTTAATATGCTATTGCATTTCTAATGATGAAGCAATTCTTTAATTATTTTTGATTAAATAGTAATTTTGCTAATAATCAAATTAATTTATAGCATACAGTAGCTTTTCGCATAAAATTATATGTAAAACCCTACAAATTGTTAAGAACATCATCTTTTTACTTTGTGTAAACTTTGAAAGCGGTATTTTTTGTAAAAAAGTATTTCACTCAATTAGCACTGTAATCGATGGTGTGAAATACACCATTGAAGCAGGAAATAAGTATGCTATTGTCGGTGTTCTAGGCCAAACCGTATGTAATGCTATAGATAATAATACTTTCACTTCCAGAGAGATCAATCTTAAAACGAGTGTTACTATAAATAGCAAAACATATGATGTTCTTGAAATTGCTCCTTATGCATTCTTTCAATATAAATCATTCCAGAATATCATATTATCTCAAAAATTAATCAAAATTGGCCAAATGCATTGGCAAACCCAAATTTTAGCTAAAAGTGACAGGGGGAAAAAACGTTTAGTATTAAAAAAAAGACCGATGAGAGCTTCGTTCGAAATATAGAGGGAACTGAGAATGCGCAACCATTCTCAGGGAATATTGGATGCTATTCCCGTTCCCTCTGTATGGAAAATTGAGGTTTTCAAAGGGAGTTAAAATAATATCAAATTTATACTAATTTACTTCAAAATACAAAAGTATTTGACAGCTAAAATTAGTTACTTTAGCAAGCCTATCAATACCCTTTTACGATTATTGTTACTTTTTCGAAATAAAAGTAAAAACAAATTTATACTAATTTACTTCAAAATACAAAAGTATTTGACAGCTAAAATTAGTTACTTTAGCAAGCCTATCAATACCCTTTTACGATTATTGCTACTTTTTCGAAATAAAATAAATTTATTATCAAAAACTTTTTTTTTCTTAGTAAAAATAAACGAAATTTTTTACCTTATGAACTTTTGATGGAAATATGCAAATTTAAAATAATAAAGAAAGCCGCGAGCGAAGCGATCAGCTTAGTTCGAAGATTTTGATTCAAATCTTTGCTGATCTGTAATTCGCGGAAGCCGCGAGCGAATCGAGCGGCTTAGGTCTAAGATTTTGATTCAAATCTTTGCTTATATTCCTTAAATTCTTTATGAAACTCGCAACAGTTCCATAAAAAATTTTAAATTCTAAACTGTCGAAATTACCGATCGGTAATCACACCCTTCACGGGCGTGTCACTTTTTACAGGGGTGTCACTTTTAGCTAAAATTACCCCTACTCAAAATGCATTTGATCAAGGATATCATTCTATTGAAACCTTAGTGATTCCTGAAACTGTATTGTGTTTAGGAACTTATTGCTTTGCAGATTCTCATATCAAAATTCTCAAATTAGGTAAAAATATTAATGAAATTGGGTTTTGTATTTGCGGTATGAACATATTCTTAGAAAAGATAATTGTTGATCCAGATAATCATTATTTTGCGCATGATGCTCTTTATAATCTTTATTCAAAATATTATTCAGTTCTTTATCAAGTAACTGCTATTCAAGAACATTACACAACTCCACAAACAGTTAAACTTATCAAAACTCAAGCATTTGACGGAATTTAAATCAAATCTATTATTATTACACAAGATTGTGAATTTGAGATTGATTCTTTCAATTATTTAAATAGTCTCCAAAATATTACATTTTACGGTCAAATTAAAGCCCAAAATCCAATATTTCGAGCTGATTCCACACTCAAATTGATTAGGTATTATTCAGATAGACCTGTTTATGATAATCTATTTGAAATGATGATAACTTCAAACATCGATGTTTATTGTTGTTACAATTTTCACAAGAATTTTTCTGGGATTGTTCCGAAGCGAGAATTTACTTGTATAAACATTCCAGTTAAGTCATGTTTAGCAAACATATACCAATATTCATTCAAATTTCTCTTTTTTATATTTATTTTTGGATAAACGAAATTAATTTTGCTAGTATTTATAATTTTCATAGTAATTCTTTTTAAAATATATTGTGATACATGTGTTAAAATCATCCTCAAATTATTTATTATCAAATAGCAGATTTGTAATTAATCAAATATTTTGCGCAGATATAACAGCAAAATTCATACATATTGTTTAAGGGTTTCGTTTTGCTAAAATTGTCACTTTTATAGCATATTTGTTTTTGGATGTTTTGCGAAACCAAAAAAAAACTATGATATACAATGTGTGTGTAAAGAAAATACTTTATTTACTAGTTAAAAAATCATTTGGTATTGATCAAGTTATTTTTTCTGGATAAGATATTATATGGATAATTGGATAGAAAATACAATTATATAATCTTGTACCTGGTTTAATTAAGCTAATTGGCATCAGAAACTTGTAATTTTTATGAATTTCAGATTTTCTTTTCATTACTGCTTTTCTTAATAGGTCAAGTTCTTATTTACGTTATAAAGTATGATATTTACAAATATCAAGTTATCATGTTTTTTGAGAAATTATGAGAAACAAACAAAAATGAAAAAGATAGGAATAGCAATGAATAGTGATGTGGGTATAGAAAATGTAAGAGATATGAATGCAAAGCAATCAGTATTTAGGATATTGACCATAGATTTCGAAAAAAAAATGCTGCATATTGAGCGAAAACTATGATTATATTATAAGGCTGTCATTTAAAGCATAATGAAACTATTCCCTTTTCATTTTAATCGAATAAGATAGTAAAGATTTTTGAATTAGCTAGAAACTGATGAGATGTTTTCACAAATCAGATTTTTAATCTCTATAATGCATAATTCACTCAATATCTCAATTTTGATATTGCGAGATATTTTTGCTATCGGTTTCGCAATTTTGACACAATAGCAAGAGGGTTCTATAAGCATTATTATCAACGTAGAATCTGAATATCATATCAGAAAATGTCGCAAATCTGACATTTACCCGACCAAATAGCAAAAATAATTGAATACTTTTCGCAAAAACTTTAAAAATCGATAAAAATATGAAATATAGATATTAAAGAGACTTTTTATATAATATTAAAAAAAAAAAGGTAGTGGGGCCTCCAGGCACTTCGTGCCCTCTAGCCCTGAAGATGTTTAGTATAATGAAGTTTTTTTTTTTTTTCTTGGGATGGGCCTCCAGGCACTTCGTGCCCTCTAGCCCATAAAAAATTTCTGAGGACGAGCCAGCCGTTGACTTTTTTGTAGAGCACTCAAAATAGTATAACTTTGTCCGGACAAGTAAGGGTCTATCGTCGCTACAGGAAAAGTTACAGGCGTTCCAAGGAAGTATACTTTGAGAAGCCTTTCCCCCTTTTAAAACAAGATAGGACGGTTATTTTACAAAACTGACAACACTTTGACCGAGTAGTTTTTTGTGCTGAACAAAAAGTGTCATATAAACATCTGTCAAAAACCGTTTTTTACTTCACTTAAAATGCCACGTAAGCTACGTAAGAATATACGTAAGAGGAAGGGAGCATTGAAACATCCAATAGTAAAACTGACACCACAACAACAGTTGCAACAACAAATGATAATGACCCCACTATGTTGCAACAAATGTCAAGCAACCCTATGCTTTTAAACCGAGTTATTGGTGCACAGAGTGGAGGTTTAAGAGCGGCACTTTTAGCGAAAATGGCAGGCTATGGTGGAGCTGCAGACGGAACAGCTTATAACCCTCAAAGTCAAATGAATTTGAGTTCACTCAAAAATCAATATACAGATGTCAAAAAGTCAAACATAGAATACAGAAACA